TGAGCCACCGCGCCCAGCCCTAGATTTTTTTTTTTCCTAGCACTTCAGTGTTTAAGAAGTGCTGTACATTGTCTTGTTAATTCTTAAAACAGCCTTACCAGAGATTATGAGGACCTGAAGTAATACAAAGGCAGTGGGAAAAGAAAGGAGTAACTGAGAGAAGAGACGTTTGGGGGTTAGAATCTGTTGGAAACTGGCCATGGGGAGAAAAAAAGAAATTAAAAATGACTGAGCAGAGATATTGTAAAGATTCAGCTCAGTCCAGCATACGTTTCTTATCAGGCACTAATATGATGAATAAGAAACTCACAGAGTGAACATGTATGTATCAAGTAATTATTAATATAAAGAAAAGTATTTTTAAAAATACCTAGTAAGTGTTGCAGGTGAGGAAGCTATTAATTTTAATGGTTATGGATTTGGATATCGTCTTGGAGATGACTTACAAAAAAGAATCAAGAAGTAAAGTTTAGAACCTTAGAGGATCTCCATTTGAGAGCTAGGACAGAGGAAAGATACTAGCAAAATAAATGGAAACTTAAAAAGAACTTTCAAAGGTTAGTTCATTGTTAAGAAAGCTGTGGGAAGAAATACTTTAAAAGTGGTACAGAGAGTTGTCCGCGGTGCAGTGTGCTGTACAATTATGTAAGGAGTCTAAGAATAAAAGCATAGAATTTGGAGTTTGGAGTCTTTTCAAAGACGCTAACTTCAGGGACCTGATAAGGGCAAAAGACAGTTCCCGGAAGTTTTAAGAGTAGGGAGGGCTTTGACCATTGCTTTTAAAATTAGAGAAATCTGGGTAGAAAATTAGTTCTTCAAAAGGGTTTCTTTGATATTACTGCTGCTAAGGGATCCTTTCTGGGCCTTGGTTCATTCTAGATTCTTTAAGATTGCTTTCAAGTAATACCAAAGTGCTGGAGGAACCCTGGAATCATTCCTGTTCCCAGGAATTCTGTAAGGAGAGAGTATCTTAGAAAATCTCAAACCACAGAAAATGCTTTGATCCATTACAGCACGGAATCTTGGCTTCCACGATCTTCTTTTTATGATGCTCTCATCATTTGTACATGTATTTAAATCTCTCTTGAGTCTATCCACGTCTCTCCGTTGCTGCCCCCACAGTTCAAGTTCACCAGCACTTCAGTGTTTAAGAAGTGGATAGGTCAATTTAATATTTTAGATGGATCTCACGTCTTCGCATCCTGGAAGACTGTTCTGGCACCCAAACTGGGCACTTGCATCTGTTCTGACTTAGCCACTCTCCACATTAAAGCTAGAGTAAACCTTTAAAAGCACAAATGTGTCATGGTGTCCTCCTGCTTAGCAGTCTCCACTGATGTCTCTTTGCTCTTGGGCTAAGACAAAATCCTTTAATGGGGATTCTAAGTTCCTAACAGTTTAGCTCCCTTTGCTTCAGTCACACTGGCAGTTTTGTGATTTCTTGAACTCTCCGTATGGCCTCCAACATAGTACCTGAGCATGCTGTTCCTTCTACCTAGAGCCCTTTGCCCAGTTCATTCCAATCTCAGCTTAAGAACCACTTCCTCATGGAAGCATTTCTTGACATCCCTGCCCGGGTCAAATCTTCCATTCTAGGGCTTCTTAGTGCTGTATCCTCTCTTCGCAGCATTTGCACAGTTCTAACTTTACATTTATTTGTGTGATTAAAGTATTTCCCCTTCGATATACTGTAAGCACCGTGAGAACAAGGCACATATCTGGTTTTGCTCTTTACTTAAAATTTTAAGACTTTGCCATAAGTAGGGTCCTTTCCCAGGCTAATTCTTAACTTAGTACTTTTAATTACACTAATAAAGAAGTTTCAGGACACTAAGAAACAGACCAGCCAAAGGTTTTCTACTTTCCCATTTTTTTTTTTCTTTGAGACAGAGTCTCACTCTGTCACCCAGGCTGGAGTGCAGTGGCATGATCTTGGCTCACTGCAACCTCTGCCTCCCAGGTTCAAGCAGTTCTCTTGCCTTGTCTCCTGAGTAGCTGGGACTACAGGTGCATGCCACCACGGCTGGCTAATTTTTTGTATTTTTAGTAGAGGCGGGGTTTCACTGTGTTAGCCAAGATGGCCTTGATCTCCTGACCTCATGATCTGCCTGCCTCGGCCTCTCAAAGTGCTGGGATTACACGCGTGAACCACTGCGTCCAGCCTTTCCTACTTTTTTTTAAAGAAATCAATGCTGTTGTTTTAGTTGAAGGCAGTGTACTGCCTGAGCAGCCACGGACCTCTGATCCCACCTGTTCTTGAGGACAAAATGGCATGCCTGCCATCTACAACGTGACACTTCATGTAATAAACTGGCAGCTGCTTCGAGGTGGGAGCTGTGTTGGCCCCTTTATTGTCTCCTCTGGAGAACAAATGGAACAAACAAGGAGTACCAGTCACAAGTCTCTTAAAGGGACGTTCAGTGGTAACTTCTAATCAGAACTTACTTCATTTAGGCCATAAGGGGAAGGTGCCTCTCTATTCTCTAATACAAGTATTTCAGAGTAAGCAAGCATGATTTGTAGACAAAGAGGGATTTTTTTTAGAATTTTGCACATACTATGTGTTCTTTCCCGTTGTTGCAAAATATATGACTTCCAAGTTAAGAACACAGAAGTGTTGGTATAATTTGCTTTGGTTAACAATGTGTTAATTTCATTTTCTTCTGAAAGGAAAGGAACAAAATCATTACACAATGGTATCAGACTCTCTCAAAGGTCTAGAATCTAGAACAGTGCCAGTCATGTAGCAGGTGCTTGCAGGTTTGTTAGATGATTAGATGTTTGGAACAACAAAGTAAAATCCATGAGAACAAGGACTTTGTGTTGTTCATCATGTTGTCTTGAGTGCCTAGAACTGTTCCTGCCATACAGTAAATATGCTCAACTGATTTCAACTACTTTAACATATACTACTTTAGCACATGACAGTCTTTTACTGAGGTGCTTTGGCATTCTCTCTAAAAGATAGACAGGTGTTTCATTAGTGTGGATTAATCCACTTGGATTTGTGAGTTCTTGGATGATGGCAGTAGTATGTAAGTTAGGTAAAATAGTTCCTATTTTCATCACTTTGGAGTTTGTTTTCCTTATTTAAAAGGGACTTTAAAATTTATGTACTGTAGCTTTAAAACTGCATTTATGCAAAAGCATGGGCATTTTTATACAATTTAATCTTTAACTTTTATCTTTGCAGTTATGATATGACTCTGACAAATGCCTGTATTGCCTTAAGTCAAAGATGGATTACTGTAAGTAATAATGTGTGATTTTTTAAATTCCTTTTTGAATTGTGGAAATGTCTTTACTCATGAAGGGGGAAGGGTAATTTAAATCACAAAAAGTTGTATTTGGAAAGGCTGTTTGAAAGTCAGATTTATCTAAGGTGATACTCTATCTATTCTCAATGTAGAAGATTAAGAGTTTGTTTTGAGACAGGGTCTTGCCCTGTTGCCCAGGCTGGAGTGCAGTGGCGCGATCATGACTCTTGCAGCCTCAACCTCCTGGGCTCAGTCAGTTACCCCACCTCCACCTCCCAAGTAGCTGGGACTACAGGCATGAGCTACCATGCCTGGCTAATTTAAAACTTTTTGTATAAACAGGGTCTATGTTGTACAGGCTGGTCTCAAACTCCTGGTCTCCAGCGATTCTCCCACTGTGCTGGAGTTACAGGCACGAGCCACTGTGCCCAGCCTAGAAAATTAAGTTTTATGGGAGGAAAAAACAGATATTGAGGGCATTAATCCTGATGTTTCTTGCTTCTTAACTCTTAAAGTATGCACAAGTATTTGTATCTTTCTTCTTTTCCTTTTAAATAATTTATCAGATACTGCTTCCAATATAGCAGTTACACATACCACCTAAATGTAAAATGATCTTGGGTGACCAACTGCTAATGCTCTTGGTGATGGGAAGAATCCAGGCACTTTTGCTTTGTCAGTACTTTGTTCACTTTCTATGAAGCTTCTTCACATACGTACTAAAATATAACCCTTTACTGAAGCCAAAGTAAGGATGTTCCCTGGATAATCCTTTAATGAAAAGATAACAAAAAATTTAGGAATAATTTCATTGCTATTAATTTGCAACAGTTATATATAACTTTTTTTTTTTTTTTTTGAGACGGAATTTCGCTCTTGTTACCCAGGTTGGAGTGCAATGGCGCGGTCTCGGCTCACCGCAACCTCCACCTCCTGGGTTCAGGCAATTCTCCTGCCTCAGCCTCCTGAGTAGCTGGGATTACAGGCATGCGCCACCATGCCCAGCTAATTTTTTGTATTTTTTAGTAGAGACAGGGTTTCACCATGTTGACCAGGATGGTCTCGATCTCTTGACCTCGTGATCCACCCGCCTCAGCCTCCCAAAGTGCTGGGATTACAGGCTTGAGCCACCGCGCCTGGCAGTTATATATAACTTTTAAAGTGATTTCAACTTTTAAGTTTGGGGGCATACGTGCAGGTTTGTTGCATGTGCACATTGTATGATGCTGAGGTTTGGGGTATGATTGATCCCATCGCCCAGGTACTGAGCATAGTACCCAATAGTTTTGCAATCCTGGCCCCCTCCCAGTAGTCCCCAGTGTCTATTGTTGCCACTTTTATGTCCATGCGTACCTAGTCGTTCAGCTCTCTTACATGTGAGAACATGCTGTATTTGGTTTTCTGTTCCTGTGTTAATTCACTTAGGATAATGGCCTCCAGCTGTGCAACCAATGTAGCTGTTGCCTTTTTGAAACTTGTTTCTAAAGCTTACTTGACCAGTATTTCTTCACATATTACTACGTACAAAGTGCTGCATCACACATTATGAAAAGTGAGATGGATTTGCTTTTGAAGCATCTATGGTTTAATTAAGACATTAGATCCATACAGGAATAATAAACGCTAAGCAGCAAGTGATGAGCAGCATGAAGTTGATACAGGTGAAGTAAGAGGTCGACAGAAGGAGCCATTACAGAACTTCTGCCTGGGGCTGGGGGAGTTGGAACTGGCTGCAGCCTCAGAGAGCACTTCTTACAAAAGCCAGCTTTGAAGATGGTTAGGTCATAGATGAGGTGCGGGAGGACCTTCCGCCGAGAGGAACAGTGCTTAAGCAAGGGATTTTATTGTAAGCAGCAACAAAACTTAGTATTTATTAGAAATTTTTATTTTGGCACTCCTGTTTCATTGGTTTGCCTATGATTTGATAAGGTAAGATTTCATAATTAGAGATGCAGCTGACATAAACACATCTGGAACAACGCAGCTGACTTAGCATAGGAATGAACAAGTGGGAGCAGAAGAGCCACAGATACCAGAGGGCAGCCTACCTGCTCTGAGGGTCAGCACATCCTGGCCGTCAGTCAGCTGATTACCCAGAGGAATGGAGAGGAGGGGTTTATCTGATGGGTCTGTTTTTAGGTTCGTTTAAGAAAGCTTTTACTGTGTTTGTTTCCTTCTTTGTTTCTTCCACCGGACCATAAGCTTCTTGAGAGCAAGAGTTGTTTTTATTCACCTCTCTATCCTCAGGGCTGTCCATGTTTATTCACTGTTGGATGAATACATGAATTAGTAGAGGGAAAACAAGGTTGGAAAGATAAAGTAGCTCCCTATCACAGAGGATTTTGTCACGCTGAAGAATTTAAAACGTAATGTATAGGCACCAGTGGATCCTTGAAAGGTTTTTGAATTGCAAATGAAACAGAGTTGTGTAGTAGGACCATTAGTCTGGCGGTGTAGCATATATGATCGATTAAGATGGAAAAAGCTGATGCAGTGGCTCACACCTGTAATCCCAGCACTTTTGGAGGTCAAGGCGGGCGATTACTTGAGCCCAGCAGTTCAAGACCAGGCTGTTTCTGAAAAAAGTACAAAAATTGGCTGGGCGTGGTGGTATGTGCTTGTGGTCCTAGCTACTCAGGAGGCTGCGGTGTGGGGATCACTTTAGCCTGAGGCAACAGAGTGAGACCCTCTTGAAAGAAATAGGGAGAGAGGAGGAGGAGGGGGGGAAGAAGAGAGAAAAAGGGAAAAAGGGGAAGGATGAAGCGAAAGAAGGAAGAGAAGGGAAAAAGAAAGAAAGGAAGGATGGAAAAGTTAGAGTTAGTAAAATTTTAGTTAGAGTTAGTAAAAAGGCCACCTAGGAGGGTATCAATAGTAGTTCAGGTAAGAAAACTTGAGGAGTTTGAAATTAGAATGGTACAGGAGGGAATATTAATAGAGTTGAAGCTGGGCCTGGTGGCTGGCCAGGTGTGGTGGCTCAAGCCTATAATCCCAGCAATTTGGGAGGCCTAGGTGGGCAGATCACGTGAGGCCAGGGGTTTGAGACCAGCCTGGCCAACATGGCAAAACCCCATGTCTACTACAAATACAAAAATTAAACAGGTGTGGTGGTGCACAATCTCAGCTACTCCGGAGGCTGAGTCACGAGGATAGCTTGAACCTGGGAAGCAGAGGTAGGTTGCAGTTAGCCAAGATCACACCATTGTACTCCAGCCTGGGTGACAGAGCAAGACTTTGTCTTAAAAAAAAAAAAAGAAAGTTGCCGGGCGCGGTGGCTCAAGCCTGTAATCCCAGCACTTTGGGAGGCCGAGGCGGGTGGATCACAAGGTCAAGAGATCGAGACCATCCTGGTCAACATGGTGAAACCCCATCTCTACTAAAAATACAAAAAATGAGCTGGGCATGGTGGCACGTGCCTGTAATCCCAGCTACTCAGGAGGCTGAGGCAGGAGAATTGCCTGAACCCAGGAGGCGGAGGTTGTGGTGAGCCGAGATCGCGCCATTGCACTCCAGCCTGGGTAACAAGAGCGAAACTCCGTCTCAAAAAAAAAAAAAAAAAAAAAAAAAAAGTTGAACGATTTTTGAGGTTTAATTTTGTAACTATTTAAGAATCTGAGAACTGATCAGACGTGGAGAAGAAGAAGGGGGAGAGAAAGCTCCAGGTATCGGCAGAACATCCTTAGAGCCGGAAGAAGGAAGAAAACCCAAATCAGGAGTAAGGCAAATCAGGAAAAATGGAACCAGAAACCAAGAGAAGCAACACTCCAATTTCAAATAAAATATAAACACCTATTTGGAGACTTTTCTAACATCATAACAAAGAACATTACTAATTACCGTTTGGACCTAAGGTCAAGCCTGATTGTTGCTGGTTTTTTTTCCTTTTTGGAAGGAAGGAATAAGATCTTCTGGTAGCCACCTATCGGAGAGTAGGCTGGTTGTGCCCATAGATAAGTCGCCTGTCAATACTTGGCCTGGAGTAGTGCTGAGTTCACGTTGGAGGAATGGTTTAATTGTGTGCTCTTTCAAATAAGGCTTAATTATTTCTGCCTAAGAGAGGAGTCTGGTAACACATCCTGCTACAGACAATGCCTTTTTCTTCTGTAATACCTGCTTCTTAAACTTTGTTTTCTGTAGTTCACAAACTTGTCATAAAGAAAAGTATAAGAGATTTCTGTGGGAAAGAGGATTTCTTAACAGTGTGAGTGTATTAGAATCCTCTGTTTCAGCTTGAAAAATGTATTCCAGCTTGTTTGGTGCTAGTAAAACTGCTACTAATTTCTGCGCAGATACTCCTTTAGGCCCAGCAGTTAAGGTAGATAATGAGCAACTCTTCAATATGAGTAGAAACAGGCAGTGTTAGGAACAGACTCAGGACGTTGTGTTCACTGGTGCACTCTTTTCCTTCTGCATTTTATTTCTCAGTGAATTTGTCTTAAATAGTAAATAAATGCAAAAGAATATTTATATTCATAAGATGTAAAAAACGATTGTGAAACAATACCTTTGTGACCCACCACTAGCATAAGTAGTAAAATCTTACTGGTACCTTTGTAGCATCCCTCCCCATCTGACCCCCTCCCTCTCTACCCTCCTTGCCAACATCCAGGTAACCATTGTCCTGAATTTTGCTTTATCATTCTCTTGCTTTTTATGTTTTTACCACATAAATACATCCTTAATTAAGATATAGTTTAGATTTGCAGGTTTTTGCACAGAAAATGAGCTGGAGTTGTAGGTTCTCACATTAAGGAGAAGTTAAGGGGAAAGAAGTTTTGCTATTAAGGAGCATTCTGAAAGTCGGGGGCAGGGGGAAGATGGGAACTATTTCTTTAATAGTATATATACCTATGCATTGGATTTTGTGGAAGGATGTACAGAAACAACTCATACTGGTTACTCAGGAGTAGGACTTAGAGACAGGGAGCAAAACCAAATCTGTCCAATTTGATTTTTTTATTATTTGCACATATTTCTTCTAAAGTAACAAAAGCCCTAATTTAAAAGAATGTAAAACTAGTTTTAAAAGATTTAAAAATGCTTATTTTGATAAGCTTTATTGAATATTACCTAATCATGTTTTCAAAAGATTTTTGAGAATAAATCTAAATTTGAAAAGTACAGACTCATTTTTCTTAGGTGGTTTCTAAGATTAAGTGGGGAAAACGGAATATGTGGACATGGAGGAAAACATTAGTTTATGGCCTTACCAATTTATTAATGTAATATTTAAAAATACACAATTTCATTCTTTTCCTATATTTTTGAATTGGTCTGTAAATTAGTCGACATGCATACATTTCGAAATGTTTCTTTGCTTTGGAAATTTCTATACCTCGAATGGTACAATGGATGTCAAAAGTTTCTTCCACTCTTCCTACCCACAATCTGCTTTTTCGTAAGTAATATAGATTCTAGGAGTCCTATCAGCTATTTAAATTACAGTAACTCAATCTCAGGATTACTTAACTCAGGCTTAAATTAATTTTTGAATAATCCATTCATATGGTTCTTAATTTTTACTTTTATGTCAGATTTATTAAATTGTAAATGAACAAAAATAACTAGGTAACATTTATTTTAGGCCAAAGAAGATGATTTAAATTCATTCAATGCCACAGACCTGAAAGATCTCTCCTCTCATCAGTTGAATGAGTTTTTAGCACAGACGCTCCAGAAGGTAAGTACTAGCTCAAAACCTTATAAATTAAAATGGATAGAAAGGCACAGCATTTATGTTCTACCCAACTTGGCAAAAGAGTATTCATGTGGAAATTAATGGGGAAGAAATAATTTATAAAATTCATTCATTTCTTTAAAAAAAAAGCACTGAATGCTTACTGTATTCTGTATTGTGCTAAATATAAAAATATGTAAGAATATAGCGTATCTTCAAATAGTTTATATAATAGGAAGGGGAACACATGTAAAATTTAGCAATAAGCCAGGCGCGGTAGCTCACATCTGTAATCCCAGCAGTTTGGGAGGCTGAGGCAGGCAGATCACTTGAAATCAAGAGTTTGAGACCGGCCAACATGGTGAAACTCCGTCTCTACTAAAAATACAAAAATTAGCTGGGCATGATGGTGGGCACCTGTAATCCCAGCTACTTGGGAGGCTAAGTCAGGAGAATCACTTGAACTGGGAGGCAGAGGTTGCAGTGAGCTGAGATCACGCCCAGCCTGGGCGACAGAGCGAGACTGTCTGATAATTTTTAAAAAAAAGCAATAAAAGGAGATATACTTTAGGTATCATTTGGAAAAACTGAAAGACTGTCTTCCAACTGGGGGCATCAGAGAGGGAATTTTGGAGGAGACTTGATTTGCACCCCCAGGGCTAGCAGGGAGGAAGAAATTCAAGATGGAGGGAGCAGCAAGGGCTGGAACTCCTCTGCAGCGTTACCAGAGTAAACAGTGGCACAGGGTAAGGAAGTCAGTGAAGATAACACTAGAAAAGCTGGTAGGACCAGATGTGATGACTCTTGAATGCTAAGAAATTTTAGATCTTATCCTGGTCAGTAGGAAAGGATTTTAAAAATCCAGCCGGAGAGTTAGGGGATGCAATGCTGGGTTGTGACAACCAATCTGGGACCATGAAAACTGTGTGGTGGTGAAGTTATTAATTGGGAGACGCGCAGGAATACAGGACTTGAAGTGAGCTGCGGAGAGAGGAGAGAACAGGACAGATGAAAAAGAGGTTGCACGGGGTGAAAGCACAGAGTTCTGTGACTGACTGATTACGGGGTTAACAGAAAAGAATCCAAGCAGATTTTAAGCTTTCAAATCCAGGCAGTTGAAAAAATATATGAAACAGAAAGGAGATGCTGTCTTTTGAGACAAACCAATGACTGGATACTTAAGACTTCCAAGTCTTCAGGCTAAGGATCTTGAGAAGGAAGGAAAAGATTTGGAAAAGAATTTCCTGTGGAATTGATGCAAAAATTAGGAATAGGATTTTGAGTCAACAACGGCAGCCCTGTCAAAGTAAGAGAATCTATTTTTAGTGCATCAGGTCATCATGGTTTCATAAATTGCTCTACCACTGCCGGGTGGCCTAGGGCCACAGAGAGAGGGAACATGGTAGGGTGATTCCAGAATGGGTATGGTAAAACTTGGGGAAAGTCAGGGAGCCTTGGCGATGACCTTAACCAGTTGGTCTACCAGCGTGGACTTGGAGTTGCATGTGTCCATAAGGGGCGAATGGACTAAATTATTTGCAGCAGGGCTAGTAGTTCATGAGAGCAGAGATGGTTAGTGAGTGCGGACTCCTGTAAGGTAAGGAGGTCGTGGCTGGAGGGGAGAGTTAGTGTCTACCTTGAGGCACCTCTGCCTCTACTCAAAGGCACTGCAGACTCTGCTTGTTCACACTGAACTCATCTTTTTTCTTTCCTTCATTCAAACTTGTCTTCCCTTTTAGGGTGAGTTAAGATAGGGATAGGATGCTTATGAACCCCCTGAAATTGTATACAGAATTTTGTATTCATGCAGTAGGTGTATATTCCGCCCTAGGGAAAGAGTTCACATTATTCATCAGATTCCCAAAGAGATCTAGAATACATTGAAGAACTGCTATATTGTAAGGATGTAGATAATTTAAGAGGGATTTCAGAGGAAATATATAAAAATAAAGCTGGGGGAATCAGTGAGGCAAAAATAAAGGAACTATGATTTAATCTGGAGAATGGAATGCATTTAAGGTATAGAGAATAACTAGAAAACCTCTAGGAAAGGTCTGAAAGATAATAGTTATTTATACATGCTAAAAAGTCTAAGAAGAGCAATTCTCATTTAATTATCTGAGTACTTCACAAAGTACATTATCCCTGTGCTTTCCCAGTAGAATATCCTCATCCAGAATAAGTTGGCACAGAATTTACTTTAGTGTGCAATTTGTGTCGTTTATTTTTATCTTATTTCTATATTATCAAATATTTAGGATTTTAATCTGGCTATGCATTTCTCTCCAGCTCCTTTCTTCCAAGGAATCCTGTTGAAATGATACGGTATACTTCTTTATTTTGCTCTTAGGCACCTCTTCCATTGGGGCACATAAAGCGAATGCAAGAGGTGTACAACTTCAATGCCATTAACAATTCTGAAATACGATTCAGGTACATCATTTTAACTTGTCTCTGTGGAAGAAAGCAGAAAACCCCTTTGAAAGGTGGAGAAAGGGAATGCAGAGTATGAGACATACTTGAGTCTTGAGACGTCCTTGTCAAACTGACTGCTTCTATATAAATACTTAGAGTGGTATTCAAGGAATAGTTGCAATGTGTAAGCTGACAGTATTAATCTTTGTTAGACTTTGCTGTAAAGCTCACCCGCCTTAAAAGAAAAAAAAAATTAGCATGAAGGATTCTGTGGTAAATAGGCTCTCTCCACAACCAACTAAATCTACTTTGAAATGGGAATAGTTAGAAATATTTTATTCTATTCTATGTTAAACTTTCTTAATTCAAATTTGTAATCTGAGGCTTAAACCAAAGTTTAATTCCTTCAGAAACTGCATTTATAAGGCACATGAGCACCTACCTGATCCAGACCTTTTGTGATCTTTTTCAAGAACCAGCTCTTCTTCCTTCTCTTCACCAATTATTAAATTGTATATATAAGGATTTAAGAGTCTCAGAATCAGGACATACCGTAAAGCGGTGTAGAGTATAATTATAGTGCAGTTACTCATCAGTACGAAAATAATATCCAGATACACCTGTCATATCCTGCCCCTTCTTCCTCACTTTCTACGCCTTCTTCCTCACTTTCTACCCCGTGCTCTCCCAAAACCCTCCTTGTAGATGGCTGCGGCTCTGCATTCAATCCAAGTGGGAGGACGCAATTCCTTTGGCGCTAAAGATGGCAACTGAACAAGGAAGAATGAAGTTTACCCGGCCCTTGTTCAAGTAAGAACCCACCCAGACTGTGCTTTGAATTCATCTAAGAAATAGGAAGAAAACTCAAATGTTTTTGTTAAAATACATTGTAAAACGTAATCTATATGATAGATATTTTTTAATTTGTTAAAGTTTATCAGTATAATTTTGGAATAGGGATTCACACTTCTGAATATTTAAAATTTGAAATAATTTCATTCCTTTTTTTAGAAGCATTATATATGGATTACCTATTATGGGCCAAATAGAGTTAGACACTGATGAAATGGAAATAAATCAAAGATAGTCTTACAGACTTACACAGAAAAATTTCTAAAGGCAACTAGAAGATAATTGGTGGGTAGGTATGGACAAGAAAATGAGTCCGAAGTTAAATGTAAAAACTAAGCAGAGAACACCAACTCTTTTTTGTTCAGTGTTGCAAAGAGGTCAAGGGTAGGTTGCTTGACATATAATAAAGGAATGCTTGGTGAGAGGGGATAAGTTGTGTCTTGGCAGCAAAATATAGGTTAAGAATATCTCAGTGAAGTTTTTTATCTATGAATTTTGCCTAAATTCTGGAGGGAAAAAAATCATGCCATAAACATCCATGATGACTTCTGTTTGCTTTTCATTTACTTCACAAGTATTTAGGTTGGTGCAAAAGTAATTGCGATTTTTTGCCATTAAAAGTGATGGCAGTATAATATCATAAAGCTTGGCAAAATAAGTCAGTCTGTTTTGATGTGACCACAAAATTAATTTCTAAGTATATTTTATATGCTTTCCATAATTAAAACCCATCTAGCTTTCAATTGAGTAAAGTATACTTTAAATAGGTTTTAAATAAGAGGATATCTTTTGTTGGAAAAGTAAGTATTTCTGTCTTATTTGCAAATAGTAGTTACATAAAAAAATGGCTAATCCTACTTTGTATGGTAGGTCCTATTTATTTAATATAACATTATTGATATTTCACTGTGGTCAGGATTTTTACTTTCTATTTGAAGTTTTCAGAAATTCTATTTATAAATTTAGTGTTTTCATACTCTTAAAATCTTGACTAAAAATTTTATTTTAAAAAGCATTTTTTAAAAAGAAAGCCTTTGAGGCACACTGTCACATACAGGGCTGATATTTAGGCAATAGATGAGAGGACACTGTTCAAGTAATAAAATACTTCCATGCTGCTTGGTAAACAGCCACTGGTCCCAGCCACTCTAGCCCTTCCCTGTAACTCCCGCAAAAAGTCTGATCTGCGTTTAAGAGCCAGTTTCTGGTACAGAAGGAGGCCTCAAGGACCCTGCGGCGGGACCATATCCATCTGATTGGCTGGGACTGGTGCCTTATTTGGGTGACATTGGCTGTCATCCCTACTAACATCCTTTAATTTAATTTTGGGTATTGACTTACGTTCTTACTCTCTTTCTCCTTCCCGTTTCCCCTCTTCTCTCCGTCCCTCTGTTTCTCCTCCTCTGTCTTTTTCACATCTCTTTTCAATTTTTTTTTTTTTTTTTTTTTGCAGGGATCTTGCTGCCTTTGACAAGTCCCATGATCAAGCTGTCCGAACCTACCAAGAGCACAAAGCAAGCATGCACCCTGTGACTGCAATGCTGGTGGGGAAAGACTTGAAAGTGGATTAGAGATCTGCCTATTGATGGTTTTAAAGATTTCTCTTTTTTTTAATGGAATTCATAAAGAAATATAAAACTTCAGCTCACAATTAAAATTCTTTTTAGTTTTGACTTTTTATTGTTTTGTTGGTGATTTTACTAAAATAAAGTTGATCTTCTTATAGTGGCATGTTCTTTGTAAATTTTAACAAAGTTATATCTTTTGGTTTATCAATTTAAAAATTTTAAATTAGCTTTATATTAATTTTTCTCCCAGCATGATCACAAAATATGTCAAGGTACTATTTTACCTGATATTTGATTTAAATTCATTAATTTGAATCTACTGCAGACCAAAAATTCAACATGATTAGGATTTTGCTTTGCTTTTAAAATTAACCTTAAACATGAGTCTGGGCGTGGTGGCTCATGCCTCTAATCCCAGCACTTTGAGGGGCTGAGGCGGGTGGATCACCTAAGGTCAACATAGTGAAACCCTGACTCTACTAAAAATACAAAAATTACCTGGACGTGGTGGCATGTACCTGTAACACCAGTTACTTGGGAGGCTGAGGCAGGGGAATTGCTTTAACCCAGGAGGCGGAGGTTGTATTGAGCCGAGATGGCACCATTGCACTCCAGCCTGGGCAACAGAGGGAGACTCTGCCTCAAAAAAATAAAAAAATCACCGTAAAGCCGAATGCTGAGTTGGATTTGTGCACCACCTACCTGGTGGACAGCAGATGAGCTCCTTACCAGCATGTGTCAACCTTAGCAAAAGCTCTCAGCTCCCTCCTCCTGGACCCCTCCGGCTCGTCCAGTGGGCTTGTCCTGGTCTCCTGTCCATCAGGGGTCAGATGGCCACCTGGAGCATCAGTCCTTCCCATCCCTGACGGTCTGTTCAAAAACACCACAACAACTTGAACCAAATAAAAGACAAATATAACAAAGTGCCTTTGCCAATGCAACATAGTGTCCCAGGGCACCTCAGCACACATAGCTATATTAGGTAGGATCAATTGTTAAAGTATTAGCTGTATTAGTTAGAATTAATTAGAACCATAGCTGTCTTAGAATTCTTTGATTGCAATTAACAGTAATCCAAGTGACCCGAAGCCAAACAAGGAAAAAGGAAGATTAAGGATACAAGGCATGGGGAGATTATCAGAACCTGGAATGGACAGAAGGGGTCTGACGACCCAGGACTGCAGCACCTTCAGTGCTCTTGTTCCTCACCTCTGCCTCTCTAGTCCACGGTGGACAGGCTGGCCACCCTCCAGCTTTACTATTGCAAATAGCTCTTACCACATGGGAAGGCTATCACAGTTCCAGATTCCCACAGGTGAGACTGTAATCCACGTTGGGTCCACCTCTGGCCAAATAAACTCTATAAGAGGAATGGTGTCTTAAGACTGTAAGTGTCGGTATGGGGTGGGGGTGGGGGTGGGGGTGTCATGACCAAATAAACCCTCAAAGTGCTAATGCAGTGACCAAAGTTACAATAGGAGCAAATACCCACGGTGGGGAAGGTATGGAAGAGACATATTCCTTCCTGTTCCTGGAATTCTGACTTCTTCCTGGCTCTCACTCTCCCTAGCAGTCTTTTTTTTTTTTTTTAAGACAGGGTCTTACCCTGTTGCCCCGGCTAGAGTGCAGTGGCATGATCACGGCTGACTACAGCATAGGCCTCCCAGGTTCAAGTCATCCTCCAACCTCAGCCTCTGGGGTAGCTGAGACTACAGGCATACACCACCATGCCTGGCTAATTTTTGTTTTATAGAGACAGAATTTTGCCATGTTGCCCAGGCTGGTCTCGAACTCCTGGGCTCAAGCAATCTGCCTGCCTCATTCTGTCCTCTTGGTCACTTACCCTACACTGCAGTGTGATTTTTTTTCTCCAGGCTCTGGAGTTCAGTTCCAATCACTGGCATATGATCCCGGTCTAAGTGATTAGACTTCAGCAAATCTATGCACCCAAATACTGCTTTTTAAGGCTTCTGCTCTATGAGCTTATGAGACAAGCTCTAAGTTAATGCCATTTTTAGTTGTCACTTAGAGATACCGAAAGTTAATTGGGACAAGGGATGCTTGAAGGGTGCTGTGGAAGGGTGCTGTGAAGAAGGTAGAGGGCGCTAAAGACCATCCTGCTTGCTGGTTTGCCTGGGGGCCAGCTCAGTGCAGTTCACATGTCTCCAGTGCAGCTAGTAAGCATATGCGAGTGTCTTTGTGGCAGGTCGGATATGTACGTAATTATGGATGAACACAGACAGATACTTTCTAGGTAATACTAAAGAAGAGGTATGCTAAAGCATCCCAGAGAAGGGCCATATAACCCAACCGAAGAGTTTAGGGAATGCTTCCTGGAGAAGAAAAGGCCTAAACAGGCTTAAGGAGGAAAAAAGATCTAGCCAGGCAAAGGAATTGGAAAGTGTGTTCCTGGAGAAAGAACACCCAGGAAGTCTCTGCTCCACAATGTGCAGGGCCTGAGTTTAAAATCCTCAGGCTGCTAGGGGGGTGACTTCCATGGCTGGGAGCTGGTATCAACTGGAAGCTTCTCCTCTCACGTGTCTGATGTCTGGGCTGGAATTACTCAGAAGCTGGGCTCAGCAGGGACCGCCAACCAGAGCACGAAGTTTGGGTTTTCTTGCAGCATGAGGATAGTTAGACATCTTATTCATCTTTGTACAGCTTTATCCATCACCAGACAGTAAGCACCATGAAGGTAGAGTGTGTTTATTTCATTCCCAGCACTTCACATAGAGCTTGTTACATAACAGGTGATGAGAAAATGTTTCTTAAATGAGTCAATGAATGAATGGTGGGCGGGGGGGCAGAAAGTTAAGGTGGTTCGCATTTGGGGACCTCAGTTTTCTCACAGATGTAGGAGGTAAGATCTCCCTCTGAGAATTAGAGGAGGCAGATGTTGCAAAGGTCCTGGCAGAAGGGTGAAAGTTCTGGAAAGTCACTGTGGGCTGGAGGGAATAAAAGGGCAATATCATGAATCTATGTGATCACAGGATTTACTCCAGCAATGTCTTCTGCCTGGGTGAACAGAGAGGGCAGTCCCCCTCCCCCCGCCTTTTTAAAAAATTTTAAACAGCGTCATGATCTCGCCCAGGCTGGAGTGCAGTGGTACAGTCATAACCCATTGCAGCACCGACCTCCTAGGCTCAAGCGATCCTCCCAAGAGAAAGTTATTTTTTGTGACGACCAAGGGGATGGGTATTACTCCAAGTGTAGACACAGGTTTAGGGATGCAAAGCAATCTCAAGAGTGCTTAAGGAAGAGTGGTCCAGTGAGGAACTAGGGAAGCAGCTTCCTAGGAAAGTAAGTGAGGATGCCGGTGGGAAGGGGAGGGATGGAGAGACTGACTGGAGATCAGGTCCAAGGCTGGCAGTGACTGAAGTAAGGGGGGAGCTGGAAGGTCACGGTCAGAAGGTGGAATATTGAAATTTCAGATTTCTTAATTGTATCAAATTCAGGTCATGACAAATTCCAGGGTGCAGTCAGGGTGTGGGTGGCTGAGGAGCAAGTTTCAATAAGGGTTGAGGAAGGATAGCTATTCGTATGATTCATGGGAAGCTGTCAGAGGATGAGAGGGACTCTGGGTCTGGGTATGTGCCTTTTTCGTGAGCAACCATGTCTCTCTTCCCAACCGAAGTCTGGTTTAGTGGAAATAGACTTTTTAGGATTTTTCTAGTGCAATCACCAAATCTCTAAAAACTGGCTTACGATGAAAATGCTGCTTAGTCAAAATAGCATCCGCATTTCTTTGATGCCTTAGCCATGCTATCCAGAGTTCCTTAATACCAGTGGTAATGAGGTGGGTGCAGGGAGCAATTATCTATGGTGAAGAAGCTTAATTGGATGAGGGATATCCATGTGCCAAGATGAAAGACTACGTATGGAACATTATAGCTTTTTAATTCATGCAGAACCTTTATAAAGCATTATAGTTACATGGAGTACTAACACCCAGATACTAGTAATCACAGACACCTCTATAACATTTCCACCATGCCAGATGCTGTGTTGAGGGCTTTACACATACATATACAGACCGACTTAATCCTCCCCATAGCCCTTTGACATAGATACTATCATTATCATTATCTTCGTTTCACAAATGAGGCAACTGAGGCCCAGAGAAGCCAAATCACTTGCCTACAGGTCACACACTTAGCAAATGGCAGAGCCAGGATCTGATCCTAGGTAAATCCTGCACATGCTGGAGGGAGGCAGTCAGTCCCTGCTCCTTCTGATAAAGAAATGGAGGGCAATACTCACCTGATCAAGGCTAACAAGTAGTGGAGCTGGTGCCTCATCCACAGCTGTCGGAGTCCCTGATCGCCAAGCCACGGTGGCTCATTTGTTCAGATGATGACCTTTGGTTCTGAAAATGATCTGTGGCCTTTGAAGTCTTCCCTGGTGGAGAGGAAGCTTCAGGAAACCTTACTGGTGACAGGGAGTAGTTGCTCAATACATATCTGTGGAATAAACAAATGAGTGACGATTGCCACACTCCTGGTGTCACATTTGGCCAGCAGGACACATTTTACAGTTGAGTAATTCCAGATAAAGACAGGAACATGGTGTTTATAAGCTGCCCTTAATGGAGGAGAACACAGACAGAAACAAGAGCAGAGGGAGAAATTGGGGACCCTGAAGAAAGGGGCCAGCAGCAGGTAGGTGCCATCAGGGACAAGAACAGCACCTCCCAAGGTGGGAGACCCCAAGTCTTTCTGGCAGCAGGGCTGGATGACAGGTGGACAGGAAGCTCACCCCCCTGCATCCTCTGCTTCTGCCCCCACTGGGCTGCAAAAACCAAAGGGACACTGGGGGCCTCGATAAATATTTGTCCAATGCATGAATGAGTAAAAGCAAAGGAGGGGGAGTGTTTTGAAAGTCTACCCTTGTCCTTCCAGCTGACCACACCCCGGTAGTAGTTCCTACATAAAGCTCTCCCCTCCCGTGACTGCCACCAGCTGAGGACCTCAGGCTGCAGGCTGCCGTGGAGCCATGCCCAGGTACACAGTGCACATCCGTGGGGAATGGCTGGCCGTGCCCTGCCAGGAGGCACAGCTCACCGTGGGCTGGCTGGGCCGCGAGGCCGTGAGGCGCTATATCAAGAACAAGCCCGACAATGGTGGCTTCGCCTCCATTGATGACGTGCATTTCCTCGTGCGTCGGTGCAAGGGCCTGGGCCTGCTGGACAATGAGGACCCGCTCGAGGTGGCCCTAGAGGACAACGAGTTTGTGGAAGTGGGTGAGTGGCCGCACGAGAGGGCTGCAAGCAGGTGCACTTTGGCCTGGCTTAGTCCTTGCATGCATTGAATCCCCACTCCAGAGAAAATGATGAGCAGACCTCAAGTTTTGCCAAGGCTGGCTCTGGGCAGGTGCATGCCATGCCTCCGGGGATTTTAAGTGTCACACAACCCTGGGAGATGGGTAGGATTCTCCCCCTTTGACAGCCATGGAGAAATCAGAGAGGAGGTAACTTACCCAGACTCCGGCAGCTAGTAAGTAGCCAAGACTAGACTCGTATTCAAAGCTGCAGGTCTGAATCCCCTTGCAGTGACTGAATCATTTTGAAGGTCCTTTTGCTTTTCAAAAGAACCCCCCACCCCATCCCAGGCTGGAGGCCAGCAGCATAGAGGCATCTGTTCAGATTTAAAAGAAAATAAAGCTGGGAATGGGGATGGAAGTGGCAGCTCCGTCTTGAACTTTCATCTAAACCCCTGTTCTCTGCCCTGACACCTACCTCTCTGCTCTCCTCCTACATAAAGATGCTGAGACCACATGAAACTGTCTGAAGTGGTTTTCAAGCAACCATTTCTATAGAATTCACAGGCCATTGATGGGCCCTTTCTTGGTTTAACAGGGGGTGTGCAGCTGTACAATGTGGTCTGTAATGAGTCTCTGTGCATTCTTGTTTTAGTTATAGAGGGTGATGCCATGTCTCCCGACTTCATTCCGTCTCAGCCGGAAGGAGTTTACCTGTATCCTTTCCCACAGGCTCCTTGATCTGCTCTGGGGGCGGCTCCTGCAGATGGTGGGGCTAGGGTTTTTCCACACCACCCTAGACATTCCTTTACCTGGATACAGATACAGCAAGTACCGGGAACCTGAAAAGGTAAACTTCAAACCACTTTCTTTTTCTTAAGAAAATTCAGGCCCCTTATTTTAGAGGGAGGAAGGCCAGTAAAACTTCTGAGTAAACACTATCAATTAGAACAGGGCTGGCCAGGCACAGTGGCTCGGGTCTGTCATCCTGGCACTTTGGGCAGCTGAGGTGGGCAGTTCACTTGAGGTCAGCAGTTTGAGACCAGCCTGGCCAACACGGTGAAACCCTGTCTCTACTAAAAATACAAAAATTAGCCAGGTATGGTGGCAACCCCTGTAATCTCAGCTACTCGGGAGGCTGAGGCCCGAGAATCGCTTGAACCTGGGAGGTGGAGGTTGCAGTGAGTTGCGATTGTGCCGCTGCACTCCAGCCTGGGCCGAAGACTCTCTCTCAAAACAAACAAATAAACAAACAAGCTAACAAACACCACAGGGCTTTATCCAGCTCTGCAGTAGGGAAAGGGGGCCAGGAAAGGCGTTATGCTTTTGCACCACTCCGCCTCCTCTTATGCAAGCTGGCTTTTTATTTAGCATGTTCGTGTTTCACACACTGATCAGGTCTCCGAAGCATCCGTTTGGTTCTGCTGGAGGTGTCCCCTACTCTGGCGAGAATAATCAAGCTGTTCAGACTCACTGAGATCCCTTTCTTTTGTGCAGTACATCGCCTTAGATGGAGACAGTCTGACCACAGAGGATCTGGTCAACTTGGGAAAGGGACGCTACAAAATAAAGGTAGAGGAGGGAAGGGTGGAGCGTCCTCTGGCCATTTTTGCTGCCTGTGGAAGTCTTTAACCTGCTCAGTTCTGACCAACAATGTTCCTAGCTCACCCCAACTGCTGAGAAGAGGGTGCAGAAATCCAGGGAGGTCATAGATAGCATCATAAAAGAGAAAACAGGTATCCTTCTCTTTTTCTGTTATAATTTTTTTTTTTTTTTTTACAAACAAACAAAAATCCCCGCATCTAACTGCATAATGTCTGCTTTTATCCTAGTCGTTTACGGTATTACTACGGGTTTTGGGAAATTTGCCAGAACTGTAATTCCCATCAATAAACTACAGTAAGTCTGAAACACACATATGTTTGCGTTCCACCAACCCCCATCTTTAAAACATTTTTCAACAAGGGAAATAATTCACATTTGCCCCAATTTACAGATCAGCAGGACGAGGCTTGGGTTAACTTGCATGTGAGTTGGTGTTGAAAACCCAGGCTGGCTGGTTTCCTCCATTGCCTTCCTTCTGTCCCTCCAGGGATTTGACCATGATTCCCTTCATTTTCCCAGCTGAGGGAACATTTTCCCACTGCAAGGTATTTAAGAGGGTTTTTACCTTTCTCTTGCAGGGAGCTTCAGGTCAACTTAGTACGCTCACATTCTTCAGGTAAGTCAAAGCGCTGGGTGCCTCCTGATCTCATGTGATGAGATGAATAAAGCACAGCACTGTATGGGTCATCCAGTAATAGTCACAAACAGCTCGTTTCTTGAAACGGCATTTCAAGAACTAGGGGCTGAGGTGGGAAGGGATGCAGAATCAGCTGAGCCTCAGAAAAAGGAATGGGCCAGGTGGAGGGATGGGGTTGGGATGAGAACACGTGTCCCATCTGTGGAGAGAGTGGTGCATTCAGGAAAGGAAATACATCCTGGAACTCAGAGAATGAGTTAGGATGGGCATAGTGAGACAGGAAAGACTGTCACCAATCAGCGCCCATCAAATGGTAAAGAAGTTGTGCTAAGGATGCTGGATGCTAAAGGTGGGTGGGAGGTCAGGGGTTCACCGAAGCTTCCCAAAAAGGGGACTTGAGAAGGCAAAACTGGGGTCTTAACTTTTGTCAGGAAGATGGGGCTGGGACAAGCCAGACAGGCAGGAGGGAGAGGAGTCCAACTCCCTGAGCTGAGAGGAGAAGGTGATAGAGTCTGGACTGCATCTGGGGAAGATTTGAGGAAGGGAGGTTGTCAGGAGACAGGAGTTTGCTTTTCTTGCAGAAAAACATCAATTCTGTTTTGTAGGTGTTGGGAAACCACTAATTCCTGAGAGGTGTCGGATGCTCCTGGCTTTAAGGATCAATGTCTTAGCCAAAGGATACAGTGGCATTTCGCTGGAGACCCTCAAACAAGTTATCGAAATGTTTAATGGTAATGCAATGGCTCCCCACACGGAACCTGTGGAGGCTAGGCATCTACCGCAGGGCAGACTTGACTGACCAGATGCTGAGGAATCATCCCGGATTAGAAGGCGTGGAACAATTGAAATGAGTGGGAAATGTGCTTGGGGAAAATAACGCTAGTTAGGTGGGGGAAGAGAAGAATACTGATCAGAGATGCTTACTCCTGTGAACTTTAACTTACTCGACAAGACCCTTTCCCTAGCATTTGTCATCTTTAAGACTAGAACAGGACCCTTAAGTCTGCCCTTACGTTCAAGCCTGACTAGAAGAACCTTGGTTTCAGTGGTGCACGAATATGGTTAAAAAAAATTGCGTAAGAATTTTGATGTCCATCTCAAAGACCAATTCAAAGTTCTCGCTGGTGCCAGAAAATCTGAAATCATATGCGCCCCAGGTGATCAAACAGCCAGACTTGCACACTAAAATCCAACTTCCTGCAAGGGTAGACCACCAATGCAAAGGGGTTAATGACTGACTTGTAATCATGAAGCCGTGTAGTGGCAGGATATGATGGAACTCACCTCTTTAGAGCTTTCTTCTGGTATAGGAAAATTCTAATGTGGAGACCAGATTTGCAGTGCTTGGAGGTAATGTCCCTTCTCACAGATAAGGGCAAGCTTCAGTTCTGAGTCTTTGCGGGGGAGGAGGAGAAGAAGCAGAGCCTAGGCAGTCACAAAGAACAAAACACATTCTTGAGTTCCCACGTTATGGACGCAAGTGACACTTAATAGGATATGCCAAGGAGTGGAGAGCAATTGGAATGAACAATCTATCATCTATAGGGCTGTGCCGAACAGACCATAGCGATTCCAACACCTATTTCTATTCCTACCTTGGTCTGCCATACTACATAGCCCTAAAATCCCAGACGGTAGCACTCCAACCTTGAACCCACCTGCACTTTGTGGGTGAGTCTACGGCATCTCTGAGAACTCCCCAAGGTGAGCTATGAGCCAGAAGGTGGTTTGCGGATGGCACTACCACACCCTACTGATATTATGTAACATTTGGAAAGAACACCACTGTCGGGAATCTGATTTTATTTCAGAAGAATGAAGCCTCTTTTTTGGTAGCTTTTGGGGAATTTCTTAGAAAATAGGATGTGTTGATTGATAAGGGGCAGTGGGGTGGTAGACTGGGTGACTGGCAAAATGAAAAGAGCAGTTGCCTGTAACTTGTCTTCCCTTGTGAATGCTTTGGTCACACCACTTTCTTCTGGAACATCTGATATTACTTTTCCAATGTCTCCAAGCAGTTTCCAATAGCTTGGAATGGCTAAATTTGGTCAAATGAATGTCCTTTAATTTTATATTTAGAGAATTTCTAACTTTTTGTTCCTATCATGAACAAATGAACTATTACAAAAAACAGCTAGGCCGGGCACGGTGGCTCACGCCTATAATCCCAGCCCTTTGGGAGGCTGAGGCGGGCGGATCACGAGGTCAAGAGATCGAGACCATCCTGGCCAACATAGTGAAACCCCCATCTCTACTAAAACACAAAAAATTAGTTGGGTGTGGCGCACACCTGTAGTCCCAGCTACTCAGGAGTCTGAGGCAGGAGAATTGGTTGAACCCAGGAGGTGGAGTTTGCAGTGAGCCGAGATCATGCCGCTGCACTCCAGCCTGGTGACAGAGCAAGACTCTGTCTCAAAAAACACACACAAAAAAAAAACAAACAAAAAAACCCAGCTAGTTCCTGATTGCATCTTTAAGATACACTGCTAAAATTTCTACAAGTGGAAGTAATAGGGCAATTAGAGCATGCATATGTTGAGGGCTTTGCTTCCAGAAGTGTCCTCCTTCCTTCTACTTTCTTATTTAGGAGATAGGGTCCTGCTCTGTGGCCCAGGCTGGAGTATAGTGGTGCAATCTCAGCTCACTGCAACCTCTGCCTCTCGGGTTCAAGTGATTCTCCCACCTCAGCCTTCCCAGTAGTTGGGACTACAGGCACGTACCACCACACTTGGTTAACTTTCGTATTTTTCTGTAGAGATAGGGTTTCACCATGTTGCCCAGGCTGGTCTCGAACTCCTGAGCTCAAGCCATCTGCTGCCTCGGCCTCCAAAAGTGCCGAGATTACAGGCGTGAGCCACTGCGTCCGGCCCTTCTTTCCTTCTTGCCATCTCTCCCTCCAGCCCTTCTTTCTTCCCTCTCTCCTCTTTTCCTTCCTCTCTTCCTCCCCTCCACCCCAACTCCTCTTTTTCTTTCTATAGCAATTCATCCAGGTCCCTTACACATTAGCTGGGTCTGAGGAATTATCTTTCCCCAGGTATTTATGCCATCAAGTGATAGATACTGGAGGCAGGGCGGAGGGCGTGGGGTGTTCACCGACAAAGCAAGGAGAGTCAGAGTGCAGTTCTCTAGAACTAACGGCTGCCTACCTCTCTCCAGCCTCCTGCCTGCCTTATGTTCCAGAGAAAGGAACCGTTGGTGCCAGCGGAGACCTTGCCCCGCTCTCTCATCTTGCTCTCGGGCTAATTGGAGAAGGGAAGATGTGGTCTCCAAAGAGTGGCTGGGCCGATGCTAAATACGTAAGACTTACCACAGCTTCCATCTGCAGCGATTGCCCGAGGCTGGACACCAGCTGTGCTTGTGGCACAGATGCATGTATGTGTGTCAGGAGGCAGCAGTAGAGAAGGTGAACCGCTAAGGTGGAAGCGGAACACAAAGGGCCTAGAAACCAAGATGTTGGGCTGATTCTGTAGACAATGGAGCCCCTGATTTCACGGCAGAAATTAATTGAAAGATAAGTCTGCTTTCATGACTCAAGAACAGAACTAGAGAATAGACAAGAGAACATAAATAGAGCCGGTTCCTACAGGTCTCATCTTTTATAAGATGGATTTTTGGATGTAAAGAGCCATTATTGGATTCCATATGATATTGGAAATCGGCTCGTATATCACTCGATACCCATTTTCATATTTTCAATCATTCTATAGGTCCTGGAAGCCCATGGATTGAAACCAGTTATTTTAAAACCAAAAGAGGTAAGGAAACTCAAGGAAAATGTGTTCATAGTGCATATACCTTTATTTATGCACAATTTTCAGTTTTAATGTCAGTTTCAATGGTTTCAATGCAGCTTGCATGTTTGAAGAAGGGGCACCTCCATTATGAGAATTTAAGATTCCTTATGGCAGGCATGGTGGTGGATGCCTGTAATCTCAGCACTTTGGGAAGCTGAGATGGGTAGATCGCTTGAGCTCAGGAGTCTACACTCCAGCCTGGGCAACAAACTAAGACCCTGTCTCAAAAAAGAAAAAAGATTCTTCATGCCACAATGCACATGAGATCTCTTAGGAACTTAAAACTTCAAATCCAAGTTCTGTTAGGATCTCTAAGAGAGATGTTCTCAGCCAAAATTCCTTAGAATGCTCTAAGCTAAGAGTCTTGGACCAGAATTGGGTTTTTTGGATATCTCATCTATCACAGTGAGAATTTAAAAAAGAAATGCAACCTAATGAACTAAAGATTTTATGTGCTGTCTACACTCCAGAGCTGCATTGCTGCTTTGGGAATGGGGATACTTAATGAGTATTTCGTTTGCCAGATTTATGCTAACAAGTTCACATATGCTAACAAGTTCAAGGGCTTCAAAAAGCATTACTTTCCTGTGCTTTAGAAAACATAAACATTAGCTGACTGGCTAATTTTTCTCTTATGAAAGCAAAATCCACTGGTATGTAGGTTCGTTACAATAACCACAGAAAGAAACTTTGCTCTCTACCCCCACAGGGCCTGGCACTCATCAACGGGACGCAGATGATCACGTCCCTGGGCTGCGAAGCTGTAGAGAGGGCCAGTGCTATTGCCCGGCAGGCTGACATTATAGCAGCCCTGACCCTGGAGGTGCTGAAGGGTACCACCAAAGCCTTCGACACTGGTCAGCAGGGTTCTTCCTTTCGCTTGTTATTCATTCAACCAGAGCTGGTGGGGCAGGGTGGTTGAGGTCTTTAGACACGGGAGTGGTGGAGGCAGGTGGTAGGGAAGGAAAGAACCCGAGTGCCTACAGCATACCCAGTGTACTGCATCTTCATCTAAGCCATGGCTGATAGCTTAGATCCTTGAAAGAACCGCAATTTACAGACAGTCCCTGGGAGTTGAGTGACCTGCCTCAGATCACTCGGGGATCTGGGTGTGTCAAGCTCTGTGTTGTCTTTTGGAATCTTTTCACAGGACTTTAGAACTAGAGGACGATTAGGGTTGGTCCCGACTAGAAAATTAAGAAAGAAAAACTATTGAATTCATAGCTTATTTAGAAAGTAGTGAACTTTAACAACCCCCCAACTATAATAGAAAAAGGGCAGAACATGGTCTAAAAGTGACTGAGTTAAATTAGGCCACTGTAGGGTTCCCTTCTATCACTGGCCCCATTCCTCTAAGGTAGGCTCAGTGTCTTTAGTGGAATTCCCAGTGGGTTCAACATGCAGTTTGCTCTCAGATATTTAAAGTAGAAAGAATCAAGTCAATAAGGAAAACTGTGCTTTTGGAGTTAAGTTTCTAATCCTGAGTGGTGGCTAAGGACCCCTGGGAGTTTTGAGGGCTGCGTCAGCACTGTAGATGGTTCTGAGCCACTGATGGTCATTTATTCTAATATCAGAATTATTCGACCTGGTATGGTGGCTCATGTCTGTAATCCCAGCAATTTGGGAGGCCAAGGTAGGAGGATCGCTTGAACCCAGGAGTTTGAAACCAGCCTGGGCAATGTAGTGAGACCCCCATCTTTAAAGAGTAAATGAATGGAATTATTCAGAGTTTTTCTCCTTCATCAATTTCAGACATTCATGCTCTTCGTCCTCACCGTGGGCAAATTGAAGTTGCTTTTCGGTTTCGGTCACTCTTGGACTCAGATCACCACCCATCAGAAATAGCAGGTCTGGGCATGTTTATGGGAGTGACCTATTTGGTTATGGGTTTTGTGGAAAGAATCAGTAACATGATCTGTCTCCTCCCTTCCACCTCTTCCACAGAAAGTCACAGGTTCTGTGATCGCGTCCAGGATGCATACACCTTGCGCTGCTGTCCACAGGTAAAAACAAACAAATCAATAAAAAAAAATGGCAATAAAGTTTCTTTTCTTTCACCAGGTTCAGGATAAAAAATTTTAAAGCAGGAAAGTGTTAGAAAAACATGTAATGGTTAACTATAGTCCAAATTTCTGACTGTCTCTATGAAAAGTTATGTATATTTTACCTTTATGTGTACAATAATTGTAAAGTTTTTATTCTCTGTGGTGAACTATTTGTTTTCGTTTGATTGCTCAACCTACTTTCAGAGGACAACCTTTTTTTTTTCCTTTGGTGAGACAGACAACCAACAGAGAACCTCTTGTTTTGGAGACAGAGTCTCACTCTGTCACCCAGGCTGGAGTGCAGTAGCACGATCTCAGCTCACTGCAACCTCCACCGTCCAAGTTCAAGTGATTCTCCTGCCTCAACCTCCTGAGTAGCTGGGACTACCGGTGTATGCACCATGCCTAATTTTTGTATTTTTAGTATAGACAGGGTCTCATCATGTTGGTCAAGCTGGTCTCAAACTACTGACCTCAAATGATCCACCAACCTCAGCCTCCCAAGTGCTGGGATTATAACAGGTGTGAGCCACCTCACCCGGCCCAGTCAACCTCTTACGTTGATTCAGTGCCCTAACTTTTAAAAATTCTTAGTAATGAAATTGCCATAACAAGTTAATAGAGTTGTACTTGTTCTCCCTGTTAAAACTTTAACCAGTTAGTCAGAGGTGTTTATAGGAAAGTCTAATTGTATCATTTTGCAACTTAAGTGCATAGTAATGGTTACACCTTACTTGCATTTTATGGGCAATGCAAACAATTGTAAATGAACTTGTGATGCTTAAGTTTAAATTAAAAATGAAGATGACCTGGGTTGGCATTACGCATTCTGTATTGCAGATGTATAATTTACATAATTGCCATATGTAATTAGCAATAAACAGTATTTCAGTCTGTGCCAAATTTCAGTCTATGGTGTAATACAGAGTCCTCCCTAGAATAAATACACTTATCTCCCTTTACTCAGCAAGTTATCTTTCTAGTTAGCTTATTAAACAATAGATCAAAAACATCTATGGGAAAGAATTAGATCCGCTAGAAGAATAACTCCTGATGTAAGTGTTCCCTGATATTTTAATAATGATAGCAGATTCCAGGTGACAGGTACCATTATCACTCTTACCTGTATTAATTCATTTAATCTTTCCAACTATGAGAAAGATCCTCTTTCTCCCATTTTGCAATGGGGAAACTGAGGCACAGAGTTAAGTACCTTCCCCAAGATCACATAGCTGGAGTATTACTTCCTTGATTTCCGGGAGAAGCCAGAAGGCAGGTGCTGCTTTAAAGCACTGTGGGTGTCTTTGGGCTTGGTAGAGGGTAGCTGCCTTATATGTGAGCATTTTCTATGTGAGACCTTCATGCTTCATGAACTTTTCCTCCTTGGATAATAGCTACCATTTGAGTAATCTGAGTCACATCTAAGAATTTGTTTGCATTATTTTATGTACTTCTCAAAAGCCATTAAGTGCGATTGTCTGTTTTCTATGTTGTCTTATTTATTTTTTGAAATGGAGTTTCACTCTTGCTGCCCAGGCTGGAGTGCAATGGCGCGATCTCGGCTCACCAAAACCTCCGCTTCCTGGGTTCAAGTGACTCTCCTGCCTTATCTTCCCAAGTAGCTGGGATTACAGGCATGGGCCACCACATCCAGCTAATTTCGTATTTTTAGTAGAGACGGGGTTTCTCCATGTTGGTCAGGCTGGTCTCAAAGTCCCGACCTCAGGTGATTCACCCACATCGGCCTCCCAAATTGTTGGGATTACAGGCGTGAGCCACCATGCCCGGCCTTCTCTTTTAACTATGGAAATAAGGAACTTGTCTGAGTCTGACCACTAACCTGGGAATGAATCCGCCTGTGTCTAGAGTTGGCATTCTGCCTCCCACACCATGCTGCCTTTTATAGATTGATCTAATATGAATACAAACGATCATGAATTTATTCTAATTAGTTTCAGTGAAAATCCAAAAGATTTGTAACAAAATTATCTTCATGTTCGAAATGAACAGAGTATAATTTCCATGGTTATAACTTTAAGATCTTCTATATTCTTTTAAGACAAGATCTGTCCCCACTTTCCCAGGAAAGACAGAATATTGGCACTCTTCAGGTAATCAAATGGGTCATATATCTTATTTTGATTGTATTTTAGGTCCATGGTGTGGTGAATGATACAATAGCATTTGTGAAGGGCATCATTACCACAGAACTGAACAGCGCAACAGATAATCCTGTATCTTTTGGTGGTCTACTAGCCTGTAATTATAGAATTACAGCTGGTAATTTTAGAATCTACTGAAGCAATCATTTTGTGTAGCTTCTCAGTTCCATTGCTCCATTTCACAGAGTAAACAAATCAGTAAACAAACCAACCTGAGGCCCAGAGGTTAAGTGACTTTCTTCAGGTCAGAGCTGGTAAGTGGCAGAAGTGGGCCTGGGAACTTTCTCTCAGGTTCCAAGTCTAACATGCTGTACTTAACTTTTTTTTTTTTTTTTAATTGTACTTTAGGTTCTGGGGTACATGTGCAGATTATGCAGGATTGTTGCATAGGTACACACATGGCAAGGTGGTTTGCTGCCTTCATCCCCCGTCACCTCTATCTGGTATTTCTCCCCTCATTATCCCTCCCCGCCCTCATGCTGTACTTTCAAAATAGACCCATTCAAGATTCAAGAAGCTACTTCCAGCACTGGCTGACATGTTTCCTGAAGACACTTGCCCTAAAACCCACTGCTGAGGTTGCTGGTGGAAGGATGAAGATCTAGGTTACAAATGTAACTGCAGAGGCGCTGGACAGTTTATGCAGGCCTCTCTGCTTCCAGTGAGGGCAGTTTGTGCTACACAGAGGTCAGCCTACACTTACCAAAGTATTCATTAAAGAGTTATGGCTTCCCCATCCTGAGGTTTTGGCATTTATTATTATTATTTTTTTGAGAGAAGTCTCACTCTGTCTCCCATATTGCTCAGTGGAACAATCTTAGCTCTCTGCAACCTCCGCCTCGCAGGTTCAAGAGATTCTCCTGCCTCAGCCTCCTGAGTAGCTGGGAGTACAGGTATGCACGACCAGGCCCAGCTAATATTTGTATTTTTAGTAGAGATGAGGTTTTGCCACATTGGCCAGGCTGGTCTTGAACTCCTGACCTCAAGTGATTCACCCGCCTCGGCCTCCCAAAGTGCTGGGATTACAGGCATGAGCGACCACACCCGGCCCCCATCCTGAGTTTTTATTTTTCACTTTACTCAAATTAGTCCTTTTGCATTTGTACAGAGAAATAGTAAGACTGTTTCCGTTTCTCAAGGATGGAGCTCCTGTCTTCCTAACGGTGTGGCTGATCTCAGAGCCATCTGAATTTTGCTATGCAAAGTTCCATGATGGTTTAGTTCTCCAGATGTTGAGGTGATCAGTCAGGAGTCACACCTGCAAAGTTTTCACAGAGACAGCACTGCTTTGGAAGACAAACCCCTTTGGAATCTATTTTTCCTATTCCACATCCCTTAGTTCGAATCCCTGAGAAAGTGCTGAATCAGCAGCCCTGAAAGCAGGTCACGCCTTGGGCTAGCAGAGGGTTATGTGATAGCTGTGTAAGGTTTCCCATGAGATGGTTTTCGTACATCTCGTGGGAAAAGCAAGCTTTCACACAAGCTTACTTCAGAAAGTGTGTTTTATGTTCTTCACATTGTTTTACAGTTAAGTCAAACACACACTAAATAAGCCTCAGGAATTGTGGGTCTCTCCGTTTACCTCAACACCACCCTATCCCCCAAACGGAATAGTAGTTTTTATGAACTCTATGTAGTCTTAGCTCACGTACGAGTCTTTTCACTGTAGGGAAGAGGTATCCATTCTTCATTGACATCATGTCTTTAAAGAGTATGCCACAGTGTTTTTAGAAATTACCATTCAATTACTGGATATGGGGAAGAGGGGTTAATTCCCCACCGAATTCTTCTGCTACCACTTGCCTCAGCAAGAATTTCAACCAAAAGTTCTTTATTTTTTCAATTAAAGATTGCTAATTATTGGTCATGCACGGTGGCTCATGCCTGTAATCCCAATACTTTGGGAAGCTGAGGCAGGTGGGTCACAAGGTCAGGAGTTCGAGACCAGCCTGGCCAACATGGTGAAATCTATCTCTACTAAAAATACAAAAATTAGCCAGCTGTGGTGGCCCAAGCCTGTAGTTCCAGCTACTCAGGAGGCTGAGGATGGAGAATCACTTGAACCCAGGAGACGGAGGTTGCTGTGAGTCAAGATCATGCCACTGCACTCCAGCCTGGATGACAGAGCAAGACTCCGTCTCAAAAGAAAAAAAAATGCTAATTATTGATAAATTTCCAATAGGCTAATATTTGGGAGTTCTCCTGCAATAGTGGCATTACCTGAAATAATATGTTTCTCAATTTTCTATTGCAGATACAGTGCCCCATCACACCATGATGAATATTACGGGAGTTAAATTCAAATTGTTTTAGTCTAATAGCCAACAAACAAACTTGGAACAACCTGAGGACAATAAAACACATTTAAGTTCTAAATTGATGCAGAATTCCATTGCCACAGGGATTGAGAGAATGAAGAGGGGCCTGGGTCCGAGGAGCTAGGTTCAATGGGCTCACAGTGAGACATGCAGAACAGAGTAATCCACACCTGATGAGGTTAATGTAACACATACATCTTCAACTCTTTCAAAGTCAGAACCTTTCTTGCACACAGCAAGTTCTCAGTTAATAAGTAAGGAATATTCTTTCGCCCAGGAGACAAAAATTTGTTCTTTAGAACCAGGAAGGAGCATCTGTTACTGCCTTTTCCTGGGTGCTTGCTGGTTTAAGTAAAGTGCATGGTAGAATAGAATTATCTCAGGCTGGGTTTGGTGGCTCACACCCGTAAATCCAGCACTTTGGGAGGCTGAGGCAGGGGGATCACTTGAGACCAGGAGTTCAAGACCAGCCTGGTCAATATGGGAAAACCCTGTCTCTACTAAAAATACAAAATTAGCCAGGCATGGTGGCACACATCTGTAATCCCAGGCACAAGAATTGCTTGAACTCAGGAGGCAGAGATTGCAATGAGCTGAGATGGCGCCAATGCACTCCAGCCTGGGCAACAGGGTAATACAGAAAATTTTAAAAAATAATTATCTCTTGAGAGGAATAATACTCAGCAAATCTAAACTTGTCATTTACTTAAAATGGATTCATGAGGACATATTGGCCACCATCTGCTGTTGAACGCTGCCACCAGATTACTGAATAAAGAATTTGAAAATTTTCCCAAAATTGATTATTCCAGACATTTGGTAGTTGCTCATCAGCAGAGTTTTCCATTCAACAGATTCTTCTATGGAACCCAAGTTTGCAGTGCCCATTGAAGAAATAGAATTTTTTTTTTTTTTTTTTTGAGACGGAGTTTCACTCTTCTTACCCAGGCTGGAGTGCAATGGCACGATCTCGGCTCACTGCAACCTCCGCCTCCTGGGTTCAAGCAATTCTCCAGCCTCAGCCTCCTGATTAACTGGGATTACAGGCACGCGCCACCATGCCCAGCTAATTTTTTGTATTTTTTAGTAAAGACGGGGTTTCACCATGTTGACCAGGATGGTCTCGATCTCTCGACCTCATGATCCACCCGCCTCAGCCTCCCAAAGTGCTGGGATTACAGGCTTGAGCCACCGCGCCCGGCCAGAATTTGTTTTCAAACAGATTTTTTGGTCTCTGTTTTTAATTTCAGGTTATACACTTTTGGAGGGCAGGTACTAACCACCAGGTCAGTACAGTTATGGTGCTTGAGACTCTAATCTCAAGAGAAAACATCATTTCAAGTTTCATGTTCCTTCTGCTTCCAATTGGGTGTACGTAATCCGCCTTTAAGGCTTTTTTTTTTTTTTTTTTTTTTGCTTTTGTGCCCCTTTATGTCTCTTGCAGGAAGACTTGTTTCTTTCCCTCCGCCCCACATTTGTACATGGACTGCCACCTCCACGTTAAAATGAGGGCAGGAAGGGGTTGTACTTGAATGGGCTGGCAAACGTTATCTTCAAGCCTTAACCTCTTTTGAAAGATGGTCTTCGCCAGTAGGGGAGAGACGATTTCTGGAGGAAACTTCCATGGTGAATACCCGGCCAAAGTAAGCTTTTTAGAACTGCTCTTGACCCAGAAAGCACATTCCAATACAGGCTGACTGAATGGAGACCCTCTTTCAGGCCCTAGACTACTTGGCTATTGGCATCCATGAACTTGCTGCAATCAGTGAGAGAAGAATCGAACGGCTCTGCAATCCCTCCCTCAGTGAGCTGCCTGCCTTCCTGGTGGCCGAAGGTGGTCTGAACTCTGGGTTCATGATAGCCCACTGCACGGCAGCAGCCCTTGGTAAGGACACCATCCTTTTCCCAGAACACATGCCTGTCCGTCTAAGGGTCTTTCTGTTTCGCCTACAAGTATCAAATGTGGTCTGTGACTGAGATCTAACTTTTCATCACTTTTCTTTGCATTCTAGCTCTCTCGGAGAAAAGGTAACAGGTTAACGCTCATATTTTTCAGAAAAAATATTTTAAAACTTTAATACTGTTATATCAAAATATAATAATTCAATAATTATATTTATTGAATTATTATATTTCAAGATAATAATAATAATGGATAATAAGGCTATAATGGATAATTTCTCTGTGGAATGCAATTTGACATTGTATATGAACTTCACCTCTATAGCTTTTTTCCAAATCTCATTTGAAGAGGATCAGAGAAAGACTAAGATGCTTATAGTTAATGGTGAAACTTGAACCAACCTATAATTAAACTTTGGATACATTTCACTAGATATACCAACCACTAAAAACAAAAAGATATTATTGCAACATACAAAAATGCTTATAAGAAGTGAGATAACGTCTATGAAGATTGAGCTTCAATATAGATGATTTCTGATTCACAATTGTAAGAGAAGATTAACACATCAGAACAGTGCCTGGCACTAAGGGCCTCATTTAAGTTCATTCACTTAATTGTCACAACTGTCACCCAAGGTAAGTGCCATTATTGTAACTATAGATGAGTATCTGAAGATCTGAGAGTTAAGTGACTTGCCCAATCTTGTACAGCTAGCAAGATGTAAAGCAGAATTCAAACCCACGAATTTTGACATGCAAAAATGTGCTCTTACTTCGATGAATGAGGATCTCATTTTAATCGATACTTAATCCTAAAATAGGGTTGTCAAATTTAACAAACAAAAACACAGGATGACCAGTTAAATTTGAATTATTTGGGACACACTTATACTACGAAAATTAGGTTTTTAATCTAAAATCAAAATTTAACTGGGCATTCTGTACTTTATCAAACAACTCTACGCTGAAAGGCAGGATAGCGAGAGTCATTATGTGCAAAGACATAATGATCTTTGACATTATGATCAGAAGCCCAGTGCTGTTATTTACTAGCTGTGTGAGCCTCTTTAGCCTGCTGATCCTCAGTTTACCCCTGCATAAAATGGAGATGATACATTTACTTAAGGGGGTTGTTTGGAGGATTAAATGAATTGATGCATATAAAGCCTGGCACATCGTAAGCACTCAATGAATACTAGTTGCTATTAATATTATTCCCAACCAACACAACCAACAAAGAGCCACTCAATCCACCTCCTCTGACCCAGTATCTTCATTTGTTCACTTGCTTATTAATAAAATACCCCTTTAAGAGTAGAAACTTCTCACAATAACACGGTAATAGGGGAGTAGTCATCGATTTCTAGAGAACATGATGGACATTGGGAAGACTCATTTGAATATGTTTTAATTTCCCAAGCTGCCTATTGAGGTTGTGTGGCTTGCTTTCACTGCAGTAAAATTGGATTTTTTTCTTGGCCCCTGTAAGTTATCTTTCTGAACAAGCCTCACCACAGGTTGCTTATCCATACAGTCCTCAGTTTAGGGTCCAAGGACTTGGGACTTACAGTGCTGAAATCTGGAAAGTCCTTGGAAACCAGCATGACCATGATAAACTAGCATGGCCCTAGTTTAAAGCAAGATCATCTTAGGATACGATCCCATACAGCATGGAAAACAACCGAAGCTTCACTCATGACCACCCTTAAAGCCTGAGAAAGAGGAGAAGAGCCTTTGAGTCTGACCTTTCCTGACTTCTAAGCTAGGGTGAGGAAACTTCATAATCTAAGTCCTTGCTACTTAGAGTATAGTCCTCAGACCAACAATATGGCCATCACCTGAGAGTTTGTTAGAACAGCAAAATCTCAGACCCCACCCAAAGCTCAGTGGCTTTGTTATAACAAGGTCCCCGAGTGATTCATGTGCACAGGAAAGCTTGAGTCCCGAGTCTTGGTCCTCCCTAGAATCCCCCCACCTCCCAGATATTTCTGGCAGTCATTGAGCCCGTTTAAACCCCGAACCCCCACTTACAACATCCTTAAACAGTCTAATGTGTTAAATCTTCTTGCCCAAGATTTGTGGGTCCAGCCTCAGTCGCTAAATGCCACGCCTGAATTCTGGTGACACAACAAATTGATCTCAAGCTCCTGAAAGTGGCCATCAGGTCTCTTTCTCCCCTAGTCTCCCTGGCATGCTAAATGCCTCCCAGGTTTTCAGCTCGGCTTTTTTTACATTAGAGTTCCCAGCTCCCCCGTCCTGGTCTTACCTCAGAACTCACTATTGCTTTAGAGTTCTCACTTGGGGTAAAAAAAAAAAACCAACCTGCTTCCTTTCCCCAAAGCAACTTTCCACCATCAGTGCTTGGATAATGGCCAAGATCTTCTGAAGAGGGTATCCCAGACTGTGGAGATTCTGTGGAAGCCACGGGTCCTTTTGGCAGCTCTTCCCATGAGGAACACTTCTTAACTGGCACTGGTCTCTTGCAGTTTCTGAGAACAAGGCTCTATGCCATCCCTCGTCTGTTGACTCCCTCTCCACCAGCGCGGCCACGGAGGACCACGTCTCCATGGGAGGATGGGCAGCGAGGAAGGCCCTCAGGGTCATTGAGCACGTGGAGCAAGGTAATGCTAATGAGTCCGGGATGGTGAACCTCCCTGATAGACCACTGTGCCCGTGGTTCTTGAGAGAGATTTCCGGCCAGCAGCATCAGCATCACCTGGGAACTTGTTAGGAAGGCAGACTCTCAGGCCTCCTTCCAGATGGCTAATTCAGAAACTCCAGGACGAGAGGGGAGCAACCCGTGTTTAACCAACCCTCCAGGTGATTCTGATCTTCACTAAAGATTAAGAAACAGCCATGCAGAACTTAGCTGGTCCCTTGGCTGGCATTTTTTGGAATTTTTTCTTTTTCTTTTTTTCCTTTTTGACAGGATCTCTGTCTGCCACCCAGGCTGGAGTGCAGTGATGCATCTGTAGCTCACTGCAGCCTTGAACTCCTGGGCCCGAGTGATCCTCCTTCCTTTGCCTCCTAAATAATTGAGCCCACAGGCAGGTACCACCACACCTGGCTAATTTTTAAATTATTTGTAAAGATGGGGTCTTGCTGTGTTGCCTCGGCTGGTCTCAAAATCTTGGCCTCAAGCAATCCCCTGACCTCACCCTCCCAAAGTCCAAAGTGATTTTGCTTTTTTAAAATGAGATTTTTAAAACATCCTCCATGTGGAGAGAAGCATACCACGAACTCTCACACACCCCACCTTGATTCGACAGCACGTTTGCTTCATTTTTTTCTTTTTCTTTTTCTTTTCTCAAATTACTTTCAAGCAAATCCTCAACATTCTATCATTTTATTTCTGCATATTTTCTCTCTTAAGTACGAATGCCTTCTAATTTATCATGATGCCATTATCACACCCAACAAAATTCAACAATAAATCCTATGATCACCACTAAACACATATTCAAATGTTCCTCATTAATGTCTTTACAGTGAGTTTGTTCAAATCAGGATTCACGGCCCATGTTTCAAATTTGATTATCATGGTTTTAAGGGTCTTTTAATCTAGAATAGTCCCCCTTCTCTCTTATTATTTTTATTTTTATTTTTTATGTCATTGACTAGTTAGAAACCCAGGTTAGTTTTTCTGGAGAAAGACTGATATTCTGGATTGACATGTTGGTTTCCTTGTGATATCACTTTTTAACTTGTTCTTTGTCCCATGCATTTCATGTACATTGCAGTTGACCCTAAGAAAGTGGTAAGATTTAGATCCAACCCTTTTAGCAGAAATACTTCAAAAAGAAAGTTGTGGTAGGCCAGCCTCTCTGCTATGCTATCTTCATTGCTGCTTATTTTGTGAATCTTTTTTTTTTTCTTTTTGGAGACAGTTTTACTCTGTCACCCAGGCTGGAGTGCAGTGGTGCGGCCTCAGCTCACTGCAACCTCTCCCTCCCAGGTTCAAGTGATTCTCCTGCCTCAGCCTCCCAAGTAGCTGGGACTACAGGTGCATACCACCAAGCCAATTTTTGTATTTTTAGTAGAGATAGGGTTTTACCAGTTGGCCAGGCTGGTCTCGAACTCCTGACCTCAATTGATCCACCCACCTCAGCCTCCCAAAGTATTGGGATTATGGGCATGAGCTACCATGCTGGTCCTGTTTGTTTTGCTTTTTAAGGAAAGAGAAATGGCTTTCCTTTAGGCATTTTTCTCTAAGTTTATCCAATAGTATTGGAGGCAGATGGCTGATAAAAGAATATCTCAATTTGAAGATAAATGTGAGAGTTGAGTCCTTTTTTTGGTAATGGTTGTATTGAGATATAATTCACGTACCTTTTTTTTTTTTTTGAGACAGAGTCTCACTCTGTCGACAGGCGCCAGGCTGGAGTGCAGTGGCACAATCTCGGCTCACTGCAACCTCCACCTCCTGGGTTCAAGCAATTCTTCTGCCTCAGCCTCCTGAGTAACTGGGACTACAGGCGTGTGTCACCACGCCCAACTAATTTTTGTATTTTTAGTAGAGACGGGGTTTCACCATGTTGGTTAGGATGGTCTCGATCTCTTGACCTCATGATCCACCTGCCTCGGCCTCCCAAAGTGCTGGGATTACAGCACTTTGAGCCACCGCGCCCAGCCGATTCACATATCTTATAATTCACCCACTTAAACTGTACAGTTTAATGGTTTTAGTATATTGACAGAGTTATGCATCCATCGCCACAATCAGTTTTAGAACATTTGCATCAGCCCACAAGGAAACCTGTGTTTCCTGTATTTCAGGTCTGACCTCCCTGTGCTCCCTACTCCCCCGTCCTAGTCCTCGTCCGAATCTACTTTCTGTCTCTGTCTTTGTTTTTGTTTGTTTTCCTATTCTGGACATTTCAGGTGAATGGAATCCCTTAGTCTTTTGTGTCTGGCTTATTTCAGCTAGTAAAATGTTTTTCTTTTCTAATTTTTCATATAATCTTGCTCCTTCTAATGGTAAAACGTGTTCAAGGCTCATTCATGTTGTAGCATGAATCAGTTCATTATTCCTTTTTATACCAGAATAATATTCCATTATGTGAAGATACCACATTTCATTTATCCCATTGTATAGTCGATTTGTTTCCACCTTTTGGCTAATAGGAATAGTCCTCTATGAATATGTACAAGTTTCCGTGTGGAAGTATGTTTTCATTTCTCTAGGGTGGAATTGCTGGGTCATATGGTAACTCTATGTTTATCTTTTTAGGAGCTTCCCGACTGTTTCTCAACGTGGCTACACCATGTTCTGTTCCCAGCAGCAGTATTTGAGGGTTGTGATTTCTCCACATCCTTGCCAGCACTTTTTTATTTTTTTGAGACAGGGTCTCCTCTGTCACCCAGGCTGGTGTGCAGTGGCATGAACACGGCCCACTGAAGCCTTGACCTCCTGGTATTAAACAGTCATCCCACCTCAGCCTCCTGAGTAACTGGGACCACAGTCATGGGCCACCCTGCCCAGCTAATATTTTTATTTTTTTGTAGAGTTGGGGTCTTGCTATGTTGCCCAGGCTAGTCTCAAACTCCTGGGCTCAAATGATCCTCCTACCTCAGCTCCCAAAGTGCTGGGCTTACAGTAAGGGGCCACCACGCCTGGCCTAGCACTGGTTATTATCAATCTACCACAATATGTTCCTTATCTTTAATCTTCACATGGATTCTCTATTGAACATGTTGCTCTGGTCTAAAGCGTAGAGTCACCCTTATCCAGTTCATTAGCAAATCAATTCTGCCACCAAATCCAGCCTCTGCCATCTCCTTCTGATAGGTCCCGTTGTTTTCTTAAAATTATTTTTTAAATGGCTCTTGGTTACTCTCATTTTAATTTTTTTCTTTTTCTTTTTAGATGGATCTTAGTCCCCTTCTTTTCACTACTGTTTCTCTCTAGTCACCACACACAATAAAGCAGAGTGAGCTTTTGAAAGGACGATTTAGACCACACCAGTCCCCTATGGAAAACTACCAGTTACTTTCTATTGCTCAAGACAACATTCAGCCCCCTTACTGAAGCCAAGGGTAACATGCTGGCTACATGATCCAGCTTCTGCCTCTCACTGCAACCTCTCTCCATCCCATTTTCAGTCCTGGAACCCCAGTGTTGTTCTTGCATCTGCCAACAAATGCATCCCTACCTCAGCACCTTGCTGGACTGCTTGCTTGCAGCACTGGTCCCAAGGACTTCACTCGTTCTGTCTATGGAACTGCCTAGATTTCATCTGAGATGCCTCCCCTGTCTTCCCCAGCTAAAGCAGCGGCCATTCTTTCCTCTGTTTCTTGTTGTTTTCCTAACAGCACTTGGTATAATACCTGTGATACACTGAGGCTTGTCTTTCCCAGTAAAATACAAGGTCTATGGGGCAGGGATCTTGTCTGTCTTGATCACATCCCTAGATGGACCTAGAACATCTAGAACAGTGACTGGCCCATATGTTTGGACGATAATAAAGTTAGCACTGTAGGTCCAAATTATAGATCCAGCTTGTCCAATGTGGTTCTCTACTTTTAGAGAGGTGCCGTTGGCAGGTATGTTTATTGTTACTTAAGTATGCTTTGTCTGCAGATATTAAACAAATACTATAAATCCTGGAATCCGGCAATGCTGGATATAGAGCATATTGCGGTGCCTAGTGATTCTGTGTTGCACGGGTAACTAGTGTGGGAACACAGAAGGAATAATTCCACCTGATTGGGCTGGAAAGACATCCAGCACTTGAGCACAGTGGATTAAACAGTGACTGAGATGTACTTGGCCTCTGCCCTCTTAGAAAAGTAAGTCTAGCCAGAGAAGTGGATATTGGACAACACAGTAACTTTTCATAGCACGTAACAAAATGATAAGAACAGTTCTAGGAGGAAATAACTTAACCTGATCTAGGCTGAAGGAACCAGAAAAGGTATTGCTGAAGGAGTATTTAAGATTAAGGCCTAAACAGAAAGTGGAGCCCCCTAGTGTTTGTGTGTGTGTGTGTGTGTGTGTGTGTGTGCGCGCGTGTGTGTGCATGCGCGCATGAGTAAAAGTGCCATATTAGTTTTGCAAGGAAAAGGAAAGGGGATGTGCACAAAATAAATTGTCTTGGGATATACTGAGATGGGACATCCAAGTACAGATGCCAGAGCTCAGGAAAGTCTTGAGATCTCCCCTCACCTCCTGTCCCCTCTGCTCCCCTCCCCTCCGCTCCCATCCCTTCCCCTCACTTTCCCTCCCCTTCCCTCCCCTCCCTTCCCTTTCCCTCCCCTCCCCTCCCCTTCCCTCCCTTCCCCTCCCCTCTCCTCTTTCTGTTTGCACTTTTTTGTCGCTCTGTAATCCAGGCTGAAGGGCAGTGGTGCAATCTCAGATCACTGCAACCTCTGCCTCCCGGGCTCAAGCAATCCTCTTGCCTTCAGGGTAGTTGGACTACAGGCATGTGCCACCAGTGGGCCCAGCTGATTTTTATGTTTTTGGTAGAGATGGGGTTTTGCCATGTTGCCCAGGCTGGTCTCGAACTCCTGAGCTCAAGCGATCCACCCACCTTGGCTTTCCAAAATCCTGGGATTGCAAGCGTGAGCAACCGCACCCAGCCACGTTCTGGGATTACTGGTGAAGGTCAGCGGTCTCTGCACAGAGGCAGCTGAAAACTACTAGACATAAGGAGAGAATACCAGGAAAGGAACCTTGCATTCCAGAGAAAAGGCCCTACCTAATAGCCTACGGAAGGAGGGAGGGAAACCTTTTCAAAGGGAACAGCTTCAAGAGCTCAGGGTAGCAGAGGTCTGCAAGGTCAAGAGAAGCATCTCTTTTTTTTTTTTTTTTTTTTTTTTTTGAGACGGAGTTTCGCTCTCGTTACCCAGGCTGGAGTGCAATGGCGCGATCTCGGCTCACCGCAACCTCCGCCTCCTGGGCTCAGGCAATTCTCCTGCCTCAGCCTCCTAAGTAGCTGGGATTACAGGCAAGCGCCACCATGCCCAGCTAACTTTTTGTATTTTTAGTAGAGACGGGGTTTCACCTTGTTGACCAGGATGGTCTCGATCTCTCGACCTCGTGATTCACCCGCCTCGCCTCCCAAAGTGCTGGGATTACAGGCTTGAGCCACCGCGCCCGGCCGAAGCATCTCTTTTTTAGAGAAAGGAACACAGGTATAAATTAGCCTCAGAGACAGATAAAATGAATAGTGTTCAAATTTTAAAACTTTGAGAACATATTTGTAATACCATCTAAGTAGAACATATGTTTGCAATATACCTAAGTGGTACCATTATTTATTTGCTTAGGATTGTTTTAATTCATGTGACTTATACTCCGTTAAGGTGAAGAAAATAATCATATAAAATTAGAAGGTGTATCCACGGTTCTTCCGATATGTGTTTTCAGTGTGTTCAAGGATGTTTTCTGGAGGATTGAAGATGGTTATTAGGCCACAGAATATCAGCCTATTTCAAAATAAATGAGAGCCATTTGAAATATATCCAGCAAAATCAAGATGCATCACACCCCTTGAATTTCTAACAAGGAAGTGTCAGTTAAAAATTCCAGTTGATGGATTCAGGGAGAACTGCTGGTTACAAATAGCAACAAAGAGCATTTAACCAAATGTTGCAGAGGTAGCCACATAAGGTTTTCCTGACAGGCTTTACATTTATCTTGCAGTTTTTTCTGTCTTCGACATTGCTTATCAGACCATGTTTCTCTTGAGGTAACATCGTATCACCAACACATATTGAACATTTATTGTGTGCATTCAGTCTTTCAATTCATTTAACCTGAACAATAAGCCAAAAAGGTATGTACTATTATTCCGTTTTATAACAGGAAACTGAGGCAGAAGTTAAATAACGTGCCCAAGGTTGTGCAGCTGATAAATGGCAATGCTAGAATTGAATCTCAGGCAGTTGGCTCAAGTTCACTGTCTTAACCACTCTGCTCTGCTGCCATATGGATTCCAAAAAATGAACTAGCATCTTCATGAGCGAGTGGACGTATCTGCAAGATTGCTTCGTATGTCCTGTGGAAGTTATGTCAGAATGAAATCTCTGTGAGTTGGGAGTATGCCACTTTAGTCAGATCTCTATAATACCTGTGAAGTTTGGGACTGGGGAATAGGGCCATTGTTTGGCAATAAGGCAGGATTTATTCTAGTCATCGAAGTGGCTTTACATGAATAATATCTCTTCTCACCCACCAACTCCTCACTCAACTTCTTTGATCAAGATGGATGACAACTGTTTCCTATTTCCACCTTTATGTAAATTTCAAGTTGCTTTGAGTTTTGCTCTTCTCTTTGGCTTGAAATACTTGGCACATAGACCTCTGTCAAGGATTTGAAGGAGTCAGTGAATGAGCAAGTGAGTCTTTAGTTGCCCGGAAACTAACTCTGTAATGTCCGTTTCGAGCCTTCAAGCTTAAAGGTTCTCAAGTCCGCTAAAGCAGAAGTTCTAGAAATTAGGAATCTGTGTATTGTCTTTCTTTAGCTAAGAACACTTACTAAATGTGCCATACCTGCAATAAATTCTGAATATTGAAATCTGTATTTCTCTATATTTGTCCCAGTCTAGGTTATGAAGAGGTTTTTATTGAAATACAATTCAAGGTTAAACCACTTTGGATTCCGTGATTTGACAAGAAAATTCATTTAGAAGCTTAAAGTTGATCAGACTGTCTAGGTGGTTAACTCAAATAGAGTATTAAAAACATTTGACTTCTTGTCTTTCAATTTATAAAGTACATTATGAGCTCTGGTGAGTGCAGACAGGTCACAATGGGAGACAATGAACTTGTGGAATTCATTGTGGATCTGGAAGTAATTTTTCATCTTCTAGTCCAATATCCCCACCCTGCAATTCGTATGGAATTGGAAACCATGAGAAGTTAGGCATCTCGATGAAATGCATACAATTAGGTAATAGAGCTGCTGCTCAAGATGAGGATCAGCTATTCTTTTTGACTTCCTTCCCTACCCACATAACCCAAACTTGGCCAGCAAACCTTGGTTAGAGGATGTTAACAGGGGACATGGAAGACTTTGCTAGCACAGATGAATGCGCAGCTTCCTGGGTAGGTGTGCAGGTCTGGTAATTATTCAGGTAAATGTCTCAATTCTTCCGGTTCTCAGCATTAAAGATACAGTCAGGGGGTTAGAAAACAGATTAAAATGGCAAATAAATACCAAAGCAACTTCATTCTATCCATAGACAGAGAGCAAACCATCTGTTAGTTGGCTGGTGATGGCTGTCAACTTTGGGAAATCCACATTCTTCAAGCATGAAGTTAGACTTTCGTCAGCTACCCTCTTGGAATTTCTTGTTTCAGTGCTGGCCATTGAGCTTCTTGCAGCCTGCCAGGGCATAGAGTTTCTACGTCCCCTGAAAACAACCACTCCGCTGGAGAAGGTCTATGACCTAGTACGCTCTGTTGTAAGGTAAACTCAAACAGGTCTCTGAAATTTGCATCATTTCAGCACCGTGAACCTTGGCAGGGCTTACTGTTTGGCTGATGGGTGCCTGTGCTCTCTCTGTAGGCCCTGGATAAAAGATCGCTTCATGGCCCCGGACATCGAGGCAGCACATGGGCTGCTCCTGGAGCAGAAGGCAAGCTGTCCCTTTGGCTTGTTTCTTAATTTTTAATTGTTATGTAATCCTAGCACTTTGGGAGGCTGAGGCGGGTGGATCACCTGAGGTCAGGACTTCAAGACCAACCTGACCAACATGATAAAACCCCGTCTCTACTAAAAATACAAAAAAAAAAAATTAGCAAGGTGTGGTGGCAGTCACCTGTAATCTCAGCTATTCGGGAGGCTGAGGCATGAGAATCGCTTGAATCTGGGAGGTGGAGGTTGCAGTGAGCCAAGATTGCGTCACTGCACTCCAGCCTGGGGGATAGAGTGAGACTCTGTCTCAATAAATAAATAAATAAATAATAAGCAAAGGGGTTGGTGAGTGGGAGGTAAAAAGTAACCAAGGACCTGAGGCAGTGTCTCTCTAACATTAATGTGGATGTGAATCTGCTGGGCATCTTTTTAAAATGCAGGTGTGAATTCAGTGGGTCTGGGGTGAAGGCCAAGATTCTGACTTGTCCCAGGTGATGCTGGTACTTCGGGGGCACAGGCCACACTTTGAGTAGCAGGGACAAAGGAACAGAGCACCTGTGGCATGGAAATAGGACAACAGAGAAATTCAATTCACTGCCTTTTATCGTTTAAGGCTTGCTTTAGAAAACACACAGGTCCAGGCCATGTGTGGTGGCTCACACCTGTAATCCCAGCACTTTGGGAAGCCGAGGTGGGCAGATCACTTAAGGCCAGGAGTTCGAGACCAGGCTGGCCAACATGGTGAAACCCCACCTCTACTCAAAATACAAAAATAAGCCAGGCCTGGTGGCAAGCACCTGTAATCCCAGCTACTCAGGAGGCTGAGGCACAAGAATTGCTTGAACCTGGGAGGTGAAGGTTGCAGTGAGCTGAGATCATGCTACTGCATACCAGCCTGGGTGACAAAGTAAGACTCCATCTCACAGAAAAAGAAAACACACACACACACACACATACACACACACACACACACACACACACATCCTGTTAGATGTTAGACCCTGGAGCAATGTCCCTTCACTATGTCCACACTGAATTCCCTGGGTTTTGTTTGTTATTTGCTTGCTGGCTTGTTTTGCTTTGGAAAAGTATGCAGCTTAAAATCTTTATGATGACTTTAGAAAGTTTTAGACTTTGTATATTTAAAGTCTTTAAGGCAACCAAAGACTAATTGACACAGGCCATGTGTCAAATGGCTTAGAATAAAAGCAAGCAAACAGCAGCTGTGTGTCCAGTCCTCTAGAGAGGAAGTTTTGACTTCGGATGAAGTTGATGTTTAATAGCATGTGGAAACAAGGTCGTCGATATTTCAACGTTGTTTTGTCCTTGCTTTCAGGTTTGGGAAGTAGCTGCACCCTACATTGAAAAATACAGAATGGAACATATTCCAGAATCCAGACCTCTTTCTCCAACAGCCTTTTCACTGCAATCTCTGCGCAAGAAATCCACCAAAATCCCAGAGTCTGAGGATCTTTAACGGGCTTTGTCATGGAGTGGCAGATCAGAGGGCAGTTTGTTTAGCACAAAGCAATACTAGGCTGAAGGAGAGACCTGAGAACTTTCCTAGGTAGATCAATCCATTGTATAATTCAGTTCTTTTAACACCTGCTTTGGCTAGGCTGATGGTAGCATTATAGTTGCTAAATTCAGTACTGTGTTCTTGTCATGGTTAGAGACACACCAGGTATTTTCAGATTTTAGGAATTTTTTTTTCTTTCTTAACAATTTCAATAGGCTACTCACTCTTTTTTTTTAAAGATGGGATTTCACCATGTTGGTCAGGCTGGTCTTGAACTCCCGACCTCAGGTGATCCACCCACCTTGGCCTCCAAAGTGCTTGGATTACAGGTGTGAGCCACCATGCCCAGCCTAGGCCACTCACTCGTAAGGGTGAGAAGAATAACCACACTTGTATGTGTCTGTTTTTTGCTTTCAGCATTAGATGAATTCATATTTGGAAACAGATTGATAGTATTGTTTTTCTAAAAAATTAGACTTTAGTTAACCTTATTATTATTTTTTAAATTTGCTTCACCAAGCTCTCTACCAGTTGATTTTCTTTGGCTGATTTGACTTTGCATGCTATGCCTTCATATGCCTTCATAAATCACCATTTCAAGTCATAATTTGTCCTTCAGCTGCTTTTTTCTTCTATTAATTGGAATAGTCAGTAGGTCTTAAGCTATCAAATAGAGATGAAAACCAACAGCAATTTCATGTGCAAAGGAGATAAGGAATGAATATAAAGATTGCTATTTGGGCGGCTCTTATTAAACTGTGCATTTTGTATTTATCACTACACATATCCCTAAAATGCTTGCACTGGAGTTTGAGGTTAGCATTTTCACTTCCTGGGTGTTAGTACTCTATTCACATTCTTATTGCAACCCTCCTCATTTCACAGATTAGGCATCGCTGGGGATTGACCCACGTCCTTTCTGTAATGGTAATCATTAAAAGGAGTCCTACTGACAAAGGTCAGATGGAGCCCCGAATGTATTACCCAATCTGCTTTTTCCCCCAAGAAGAAGATAAAGGACCTTCAGGGACGGCTTAAGTGTTATCTGTCCAGATGAAGGATGGGTCACATGTCCTCTTGGCTTCCCAAGGCTAAGCTTTGTGACTTTGCACCCATCTGTGCATCTGTGCGCAAGGTCCTCCAAGTGGTCTGAAACCATGGCTCTAAAAAGTGCAGCTGGTAGAGACGAGGACAGACACACTTGCCAGCTTGCCTGATTGCTGTCTAAAATGGGCCCAACAGTGGATTTCACAATAGCATTTTCACTCTTTAGATTTGCAGCTTGTCCACAGGAAAGGTGGAAACTGAAGTGAAAACTGCTGCCCACAGCAATTCAGGGAGCAGAAAGTGCTGAGGAGCCTGTTTACCTAAAGGTTATTCCTGGTACTATTCTTTGTCAAAATGTGGACACACACGGGTGAGATTTGTGCATGATCATCCATGAGCTGCTGTTGAGCCAGTAAACCCCAGGGAACGCTGGATTCTCATGGCCTCTGCGGTCCTCTGTGTCAAAACGACACTGTGGCCAGGCATGGTGGCTCATGCCTGTAATCCCAGCACTTTGAGAGGCCAAGGGGGGTGGATCAGGAGGTCAAGAGACCGAGACCATCCTGGCCAACATGGTGAACGTTGGTCCCGTTTCTACTAAAAATACAAAAATTAGCTGGGTGTGGTGGTACATGCCTGTAGTCCCAGCTACTCAGGAGGCTGAGGCAGGGGAATCACTTGAACCCTGGAGGTAAAGGTTGCAGTGAGCCGAGATTGTACCACTGCACTCCAGCCTGGTGACAGAGTGAGACTCAGCCTCTAAAAAAAAAAAAATGACACGTTGTCACTGAGTTTTCTACATAGCCCTATTAGTAACCAACAGCACATGCCTTCAAAGGAACTTCAAGGTAAACATGGAATAAACTAACTCTCAATTGTCTCATGGTGCCCCTTATTCTTAGGTTTTTATAGCAAAGTTTAGTGCCTCTAACAGCAGTTAATCAAGCTCCTGAAGGATTCAGCTGACGGATGTTAACTGCCTTTAGAAATATGCTTGACTCAATACACTCTTTCCCACTGAGTAGTAATGAAAGAATTGGAGGCATCAGGATTTCCTCCCCAGCCCTGCAGGCTCACCTGGGCTTCATCACAAGTTGTCTCAGGGCAGCCAGAAGAAGCAAACCCTAAAGCCCAAGGGCTTTTCAAGATCCTGTTGTGTCACATTCGCTAACATCCTGTTGGCTAAAGCAACTCATATGCCAGGCACAGAGTCAATTTGGAAGAGTACCACTTAAGGGCATGGGTGTGCAATTTGGTGTGATCCATGAGTCCATATCTGCCAATCTACCACATGCATAAAATCCCATCGCAGGATGGGGCAGTAGCTCCCGCCTGTAATCCCAGCGCTTTAGGAGGCCACGGCAGGTAGATCACGAGGTCAGGAGTTCGAGACCAGCCTGGCCAAGATGGTAAAACCCAATCTCTACTAAACATACAAAAATTAGCTGGGCATGGTGGCGAGCTTGTAATCCCAGCTACTCAGGAGGCTGAAGCAGGAGAATTCAAGCAGGCTTGAATCCAGGTGACAGAGGTTGCAGTGAGCCGAGATCGAGCCACCGCACTCCAGCCTGGGTAACAGAGTGAGACTCCATCTCAAAAGAAAAAAAAAAATCCCATCACAACCTGTGAAATTCAAAAGCAGATACATTTCATACTGCTTTAAACCTGTGTCTGATTTTTGGATCTGGTCACTGGATTGCTTTTTATTACACTTTATGGTCATCTCATAAATAGCATGATCATTTTGCATTTTTTTTTTGAGACAGCGTCTTGCTCTGTCACCCAGGCTGGGATGCAGTGGTGCTATTTCAGCTCACTTCAATCTCTGTGTCCTGGGTTCAAATGATTCTCCTGCTCAGCCTCCTGAGTAACTGGAATCACAGGTGTGCACTGTCATGCTCAACTAATTTTTGTATTTTTAGTAGAGACAGGGTTTTGCCATGCTGGTCAGACTGGTCTTGAACTGACCTCAGGTGATCCACCTGCCTTGGCCTCCCAAACTGCTGAGATTACAGATGTGAGCCACTGCTCCCAGGCCATTTTGCCTTTTTGCTTACTTTTGTTAAGAGTATTAACTTATTAAATGTAAACAGCAAAAATATACCAAAAAATAAGTTGGAGAACATTAGTTTCAGCCCAGAGGGTAGACTTCATTAGTCTAAAGATAGCCCCATTCCCTAGAACTTAATGAATAGTTCAAGAAGGGGCTGGGATTGCAATTTGGGTCAATGAGACAGTGAAGAGATTTACTGGAAGCTTCTGAGAAAGTGTTTTCTCTCTTGGGAGGCCTGGGAAGTCATTTTTCTCCACCTCCTGCTTGACGTGAATGAGGATGCAAAAAGCGCCTATGGCTGTTGACAGCCAGCCAGACCCAGGGCAGAATCCAGCCTTGGGATAATGTTAACTGGATGGCAGAACAGAGGGAGGGAAGGCTTCCAGGCCTTCGATATCACTTAGCTGCTGTATAAACCAGTCCTGGAGCCTGCACTACCTCTGAATTTCCAATGGTGAGCTAATACGCTTCCTTATTGTTATTATTATTCTGAGATGGGATCTGGCTGTCGCCCAGGCTGGAGTACGGTGGTGGGATCCTGGCTCACTGCAACCCCTGCCTCCCAGGCTCAAGTGATCCTCCCATCTCAGCCTCCTGAGTAGCTGGGACTACAGGCATATACCACCATGCCTGGCTAATGTTTTGTATTTTTGAGGTTTCCCAGGCTGGTCTCAAAAGCTTGAGCTCAAGAGATCCACCCACCTTGGCCTCCCAGAGTGCTGGGATTAGAGGCATGAGCCACCGTGCCTGGTCAACTTCCTTATTTTTTAAAGTCAATTTCAGTCAGATTTTTGATACAGCCATTAGCACTCTAGTCACTGTATTTGTGTGGTGTTATATCCAGGCTGTGGCGTATCAACTATCACATGCAGTCCTGTATTCAAGGACTTTCCATCGAATTGGGGACATAATATGACAATTAATGTGCCAAGCATATATCCTCAAGGAAGGCAGAACAATTGCAGTGTACTGGATCATCAGGGAGGCCTCCTGGAAGAGGTGACTGAGCTGAGATGTGCAGGATGGGAGTCAGAGAGAGAAGGGAGAAAAAGGTAGAAATGTAAGCTAAATGTCAGTGCCAGAAGACACTCATGCCTGAAAATCACTTCTATGTTTGGTCAATTTTTTTTAAATGGAGTCTTGCTCTCTTGTCTGGGTTCAAACGCCTCCAGGGTTCAAGCAATTCTCCTGCCTCTGCCTCTCAAGTAGCTGGGACTACAGGCGCTCTCTACCACGCCCAGCTAATTAAAAAAAAAAATTTTAGTAGAGATGGGGTTTCACAAAGTTGGCCAGGATGGTCTTGATCTCTTGATCTCGTGATCTACCTGCCTCAACCTCCCAAAGTGCTGGGATTACAGGTGTGAGCCACCATGCCCAGCCCGGTCAACTTCTATCATTAAATAAATGGTAACCAAAATGTCTCTGGTCCTTGCACTCATTGTTTATTGCCCAGGCAGTGAGCTATAGATGTAAACAAATAATAACCCCTTGTAGAAGGATTGCGGAGAGGCTGGGAAGTAGTTAGGGGTCAAGCCATGGAGGGCATGACAACTCCTGCTAAAGGTATAGCAGGAGATGCAAAACTCCAGCCACACAGGGCGCCTCTGAGATCTGGAGGGTGCATGAGCAGCTTCTACCAACTGGGTGCCAGGCGTCCAATGTCTACAGTAGCTTTGGTAGAACCACTTGGAAAATAACATGGCCTCATATTTTTGAATCACTTCCCATCAGAAAAAAAAAAAAAAAAAAAAAAAAAAAAAAAAAAAAAAAAAGACTCTCCAAGAAGCTGACATTGGCTTTGCCCTTCTACTGCTTACTGCTATAAAGCCCAAGGTACTCATGCTTTGGGGAAAACCTGGCAAAACTATTTTAAATAAGAAAATTCACATGTTTCACTAGAGTGCTATTCTTTTAAGAGAGCAGGCTGTTAATACTATCTGGCACTGATTCTACTCTTTTTTTTTTTTTTTTGAGACGGAGTTTCGCTCGTTACCCAGGCTAGAGTGCAATGGCGCAATCTCGGCTCACCGCAACCTCCGCCTCCTGGGTTCAGGCAATTCTCCTGCCTCAGCCTCCTGAGTAGCTGGGATGACAGGCACGCGCCACCATGCCCAGCTAATGT